CCTTGTTTATGGTTTATTGACTTACAAAAGAGGTGGCTTTCCTTTTGTAAAACCTTTTTCCCAGGCTTGCAGACAACTGCTGTCTCTTCTTATAAGGACACTTGTCCTATTGGATTAGAGCCTTACCCTTACCATTTCATTTAGCTTTAATTAATTTCTTTAAGGACCTATTTCTTTTTCTAAAAATATTTATTTATTTATTTTAAAGGCAGAGTTACAGAGAGAGAGAGAGAGAGAGAGAGAGGTGGAGATGGAGAGAGATCTTCCATCTGCTGGTTCACTCCCCAAATGGCCACAGTGGCTGAAGTTGGGCCGATATGAACCTAGGAGCCAGGAGCTTCTTCCAGGTCTCCTACATGCATGCAGGAGCCCAAGCACTTGGTCCATCCTCTGATGCTTTCCCAGGTGCATTAGCAGGGAGCTGGATCAGAAGTACAACAGCCAATGCCCATATGGGATGCTGGTGCTGCATGCTGGGGCTTTAACCTACTGTGCTACAGCACCAGCCCCAAGGACCTATTTTTAAATACAGTCACATGGAGGGTTAGAGTTCCAACATGTGGATTGAAAGGAGAGAATACAACTGAGTCCATAATACATATATTAAGCACTATAAAATGTTAGGTGTTATTTTTACAAAATACACAAAAACTGCGTTTGTTGTTATCTTTGAGGGATGACAGTAGAAGTGATTTTTATTTATATTTCTATATTTTCCCAAATCCCTACATTGAACAATTTTATCAACCTGCAGGAAAAACAATACTAGTCAATAAAATTCATAAGGTAAACAGTTTAGAGCTCCATTTCTTCATGTGTTCAAAGCCTTTGCTCCAAATATGGTGGCTCTCCTGAGTGGATCCTTTACTGAGTGTCAAGTTTTTAGCTCTGCACTCCAGATGTGTGGTTGTCAGAGCAAAGAGAAACAAAGATCTGACTCAGCTCATGTGGCTTAGCAGCTAGAGCAGCCATCTCCTGTGGTAGAATGAGAAGGCCATGCCAAGATGGTCGCTGGCAACAGAAACTGCCTGGCAACAGGCTGTGATTGGATGGCTTCGGAAACCATATGACAGCGGAGCTTGACTGACAACAGACTGTGATTGGATGGCTTCAGAAACTGCCTGGCAACAGGCTGTGATTGGTTAGGGCATAGACTGCCCCTTGACCAGATTTGCTGCCTTGGCTATATAAGCTGCTATAGCAACTGAAATAAGTCTGCAGGCTGCTTGCCTCAAGCCTGCTTTCACCTGACTCCCAGAGTCTGTGTGGTGACTCCGCACCTCTTGCCCTCACCACACTCTTCCTCTCAGAAACGAATCCACAGCAACAGTCTCCTACCTAATGCAGTGATGGGGATGAGTGCTATATCCTGCTGTGATCCCAGCCCCATAGCCATACACTTGAGAGGGCTGAAAAGGCCTTCAGCAGTGAGGTGGGGTCAGTCTGGGTTCTTGGTTGTAACTAATAAAATACTATTTAAGCAGAAAAGGAGTACATCAAAGAATATTAGGACACAACATTTTGGGGAGGTTCAAGAAATAGGGTTTGGGGCAGGCATTGTGGTATAGTTGAGTAAGCCACTTCTTTGAATGCCTACATTCCATGTCAGTACAGTCTGAGTCCTGGCTGCTCTGCTTCTGATCCAGCTTTCTGCTAATACATCTTGGGGAGTAGCACATCATGGTTCAGGAACGTGGACTCCTTCCACCCATGTGGGAGACCCAGATGGCGTTCTAGGCTCCTGTCTTTGGCCTGGTCAAGCCCTGGTTGTTGCAGGCATTTGGGGAGTGAACCAGCAAATGAAGGATCTCTCTTTCTCTTCTCTCTCTCTCTGTTGCTCTACCTTTCAAGTAGATGAAAATAAATACTTAAAAAATAAGTAAAACAAATTTTAAAAAGAAGTAAGATCAAATTTCAGTTACCAGAAACAACTTCCAGAACCATTCACCATCCAACTCTTCTGCCCCCACCCTTGTACCAGTAAGATGGATGCAATGTGCAGGACTTTCTCTCATTCATTGCTGGTTTTTGGATCCAAGGATCATGAGGGCTTACAGTCATGATCTAAGTCACTTATCCACTCATAGCTTGCAAGGGAGGCTGAAAAAATGAGTTTTATGGACTCTACCATAAAGAGATACTTACTATGTAAGAAACTGTCAAAACACAGGAACACATTCAGAAGTGTTAGGAGCTACAAATAACTGTGGGCCCACCACTGTCAGAGATGCATGGCCCAGATGTCCAAAGTGTAGGAGAACCTGACCCCAGAACAGCTGAGCCCTTTGGGCCATTAGCAGATGACACAGAATGGACATTTGACCTTGCAGCCCAAGGGTGGCTGATCATAAAAAGATAGCAGAGTAATATCAAGTTAGTCCTGATATCCAGTGAACACAGAAAAGAGAAGAAGCTTACCTAGGATTTCACAGCATGATAATCATAGCTAACACTGAGAGTGGTACCTGTTGCCCCACTTAGATGACTGGCAGACTCTTAGCAAAAGGTTTAAGGCCTAACTTGAATACTTCCTTCTCCAAGATATATTCCCCTATAAACTAAGAAATCAGAAAACAGGTTAGAATAAGAGCAAATATAGTTTTGTTTGGGTGCACAAAAGATTGGCAAATTGGGACCATAGAAAAGTTTAGTGCTCTATTGAGGGAAGATTAATTTGAGATCTGTAATAAAAAAAATGGGTATGTGCAGCCTAGCATTCTTGAGGGTTGATAAGCAGGATCAAGATAATTCTGGAGCACTTCAGGGTGGTCATAAATTCTGTAAATTCCACTGGAATGTCCAGGTCAGGAGACAAACGAGTCACTCCAGTATTTATTAGACCTTGCAAGGTATCATTAGAGTCTGGAAAATTGTCCTTTCCGGCAAATTGAGTTCCTGACATGATGTATGGTGATTTGTCCCTGTCAGTAAAATTTCCAAGACTTAGAAAAGGATTGTTGACTATGCTGCAGTCATTTTGATGTCTGTGTTATCACTCCCTGGTTGGGCTAAGATCACCCTTTATCATCACACACGAACTGCAGACGTTGCTACTTCCTATTTATCTCCCCAGCCCCCTGGTTTGCTTAGCTGAAAGAGTAAGTGAACGGGGCCGGCGCCGCGGCTCACTAGGCTAATCCTCCGCCTAGCGGCGCCGGCACACCGGGTTCTAGTCCCGGTTGGGGCGCCGGATTCTGTCCCGGTTGCCCCTCTTCCAGGCCAGCCCTCTGCTGTGGCCAGGGAGTGCAGTGGAGGATGGCCCAGGTGCTTGGGCCCTGCACCCCATGGAAGACCAGGAAAAAGCACCTGGCTCCTGGCTCCTGCCATCGGATCAGCGCGGTGCGCCGGCCGCAGCGCGCCGGCCGCGGCGGCCATTGGAGGGTGAACCAACGGCAAAGGAAGACCTTTCTCTCCGTCTCTCTCTCTCTCACTGTCCACTCTGCCTGTCAAAAAAAAAAAAAAAAAAGAGTAAGTGAACGTAGAATGAAAGGATGAATGAAAGGGAGGCAGGGGCTAGAACTGCTGTGTGACCTGGAACCAACATCCTCCTCTCAGGAATTCTGTCTGCTGCTCTGTCAAATGAGATAATGTTGTCTGCATTCTCTGGGCCAGACTGTGCACCAGGGCTGAAGACACAGGATTAGGATCCTGCCTGGGAGGAGAGAGGTGTGAACAGAGCTGCCCACTACTGAGCCTGGCTTTGCTTACCAAGAGGGATGTCCAAGGGCCCCCTAGCCTGACTTGGGTCCTGGGTTATCTACTGCTGGATTTCCTGGCTGCCACATCCATGCAGTTTGGGGGCCTCAGAGTCACAGCTGCCCATGTCCACAGATGGAACATGGATGGAGACTTACAGAGTGGGGGAGGAGATGCTGGTAATCCAGGACAGCAAAGCAAGTCTCCTTACCTGGTGGAGGAACCAGGCACAGAGAGGAGTGAGACCCAGTCTGGGGCTCATCCACCTGTCCCCCTCTGTCACTGGAAGCCAAGCAGTGGTAGGAGGAAAGCAGAAAAACACTTGGTTAAGCTCTTCTCAGTCACAGGTCCAGGGCAGGGTTTTGGATTAAAATGTTCCCAAGTATCAGAGACATCTGTAGGAAGAGTAACCGGATGCGACATTCTGCAGGAGGCCAGGCTAAATATGTCCCATGACATCACTCTAGAGAGGAGGCTGCCAGCAGCAGCACAGGGACCCAGAGTGCTCCTGCAGCTGAGTGCTGCAGAGCAGGGCTGGGGCCTGGGGCTTGATGCCTAGCTCCTGGGCTCCCTGTTCATGCTCTGTTGGCAGGCTGGCCCATCTCTCTAGGCTAGTCTGGTCTGGGAAGATACATTCTTTCTGCACAGAATTCTGGTTCCCCCAGATCTTTGAGTACCAGCAGGTCTTCAGTTAATGTGCTGCCAGTGGGAGTGGGAGGAGGAGGTGGAGTTCTGACATCCCTACCACCTGCCAGGAGAGCTCTGCCCCACAGCCTCTGTGATGCCCTCTTGAAGGAGCCTTGCCAAGTTTGAGATTCCAGCGAAGTCCGTGTCATGTGTTGCCTAAGCTCAAGTGGGGACAGCTCTCCTAGAAGTGTAGATTTTGTGATGGGGAAGAATGGTCCTACTGTAAAGACAGCAAGTGACACACGTTTGCCAACCTGCACTGGTACACACATGCTGGACTCATACTGCAGATACAGATCCCTGCACTTGCATCCCACACAAGCAGGAGGTCTCTGATGGGCCTGAAGAGACCTGTGGCCCTTCCATCCTCTGCTTCCTGGGTTCTGGTCTCAGTGCCTGGTCTAAGAGGGCTGCATGGGGAGAGGGCTGGGCTGCCTGAGCGCTGTCCTCGGTGCTGGAGGCCCGGCAAGCTGCCCTTCGTGTTTGAATCCCAGGGAGAGGGTAGTGGAGGAGGTGATCTGAAAACCGGCATAGATAACCATGGAGAGAGGGGCCTAGGATGCCTACTCATTCTTTCAGAAAAATTTGCAACGTTGGCTTCCTCCTTTCAATCCCAGCCCCTGAGACATAAGATGTCCAGCTCTCAGCCTATAGTGTGGCCTTCACCATGGCTATCAGGGCCTTCTCCCATTGCACGTGCTACGTGTGGTCGTGTACGGAGATCACGATCGTCTGTGACTTCATGAGACCTACCTGTGACTCCCTGCGGCTGCTGGGACCACTGGTGACCATATATGGCAGCATGAGACCACACGGAGCTTCCGGCGACCTTGTGCATCCCAAGTGGATCTGAACGCCAGCCGGTCTAGCGTCCGGTGCTTTGCCAGAGCCCAGACAGATCGTCAGTGCCTCCTCTCCTCGCTGGCCCAAGTAGAGCTCCGAAGGTCCCATTGTCTGCAGGCGCGGGTCCTTGACGATTCGGCGTCAGCGGCCACCGGCTCACAGGCATGTGCACCTTTTGGGACAGGTGTCCGCAACCCTGCGGCCGCCCGAGCGTGCGCAGCCCTTAGAGCTGGGCGGCGGGGCGCGCGGAGGCGAGGGGGCGCGCGCAGGACACTGCGGCCGGTGGTGGGCGCCCCCTCCAGCTCGTTTCCCCAGAACTCCGGGTCCTGACGTTGGGGGCGGGGACGGAGGGGCCGGTTCGCGCCGCTGTCAGGCCCCTCCCCCGCGCGGGCTCGGCGGTTCCGACTCAGCAGCCAGTGTGAGCGGCGCCAAGACCCGGCCGGGTGCGGGACTGGGCGTGGGGATCGGTGCTGAGCGCGCGGCGCCCAACCCCGCCCGCGCAGTCTCCGCAGCGGCGCGGGGAGGCGGGAGCTGCGGAGCCGCGGGGCGGGGGCTAAAAATACCCGGCGGCGGCGCAGCGGTGCCGGGCTGCGGGTGCGGGGCGCCGGCTGCGGGCCGCGGAGGCCGGGCGGGCCGGGCGGCCCGGCTCAGCGACATGCTGACCTTCTTCCTCGTGTCCGGGGGCTCCCTCTGGCTGTTCGCAGGTAAGTCCCAGTTGCGTCCCCCTCGCAGACCCCACGGCTCCCACGGCCACAGAGTCTCGGCGGGCTTCGGACCTGGTCTGGGAAGCGTCTGGGCCTGCTGGGATTAGGGGCCGTGTTCTCGGCGACCCTCCAACCCCCTCCCCTTAGGGCGAGGACCATCCATCCGCTCATCAGATTAGGCCCTGAGCCAAGGCCGGGACAGACTTACTTCGTTCTTGTCTATCTCCTGGGACCACAGGAAGTCGTCCTACTGTATGAGCTGGGCTGAGCTTGCTGCCCCTGGTCTCGGGGTGGGGGTTGGGGGGAAGCCTCATTACCTTCCCTGCTTACCCCTCTACCGCCCTACAGGATTTCTGTAGCCTGGGCCGTTCCTGGCACCTCATGCCAGCTCCAGTGCTTCCAGCCTCCTCCTTAAGACTCAGCCATTGCCACTTCACCCTCTAAGGAGGCTGCGAGTTCCTGTCCCCCGATCCATGCCCAGCACGCACCCCCCCTCCCGCCCCACACCTGGCTCTCAGGCCACACGTTCATTACCAGCCATGTCCCCAGGGGTATAATTCCACTCAAGTGTCTCCACCGGTGTGTGTAGGTTGAGCCCGATCTTTACAATGACTTTAATCCTGGCCTAGGCCAGAGCAAATGCCGCACAGAACGTTAGTGTTTATTGTTTCACATTTAGACTGCACGGGCAGAGATGGCAGTAAAGTTGTTTCTGAGCCCAGGACGGGGAGAAAGTTGACCTTTTGAAATCCTTACCTGAGGACACTGTGTGGGTGTTATTTTAATATTCACAGCAGATCTTGAGAGGATGGTGATCCCATTCGTTTTCTAAAATGAGGTCCAGAGGTGAACTGATTTGCCCAGTGTCTCAGGGCTAGTACCTGCCAAGCTGGGAGTCCATCTGAGGTTTTAACTGATCAGCCAGTGCTGAGTGCTTGGTCCTACCTGGCTTAAACCTGGAGGTTGGTGGGCCAGTAGTCTCTTCCCCCACCCCTGCCATTGCCTGAGGTAGGCTGAGTGAGTGGGTTGGGCCTCTCTAATCCCCTCAGCTCCCTAAGCTCCTTCTGTCTGCCAGTGTCTGGTGACAGGCTGTACAGGGCTGTACAGCTCCCAATGCACACAACAGGCAAGGATAGGACTAAGGGACAGGAATAATCAAAATAATGACAGCCTTGAGCTGCTAAGGGCGGGATCCCTCCGCACCCCCCATAATCTTCCTATGAGGACCTCACCAGCAGTAGGAGGAAAGGCAGCTGGCTGAGGCCTTGGTGTTCCGTGGCTTCGGGGCTGCTTGTGACAGGGATGAGCAATGGAAGAGCCCCTCATAGCTGCAGGGGCCTTGTGTGCAAGTGGAGTTGAGCTGGTACTGACCCCCAGCTGGCTTTCTGTCCTGCTTCCTTATAGAACATTTCCCAATGTAGTCAGGTGCCGCTTGGAATGGGAAACTGGGGGTCTGGCTTGCTGATGGACTGTGCAAGAGCCTCGGAGTGGGCAAGCAGACTGTCCTCAGGGCAGTGGCAGCTGCTACCACAGAAGCCAACTGTGTCAGTGCACAGTGCGAGGCTGAGGCTGGTGTAGGGTGCACACTGGACCCCATGCTGCAGACACACATTGGTGCCTGCCTAGGTCACATATCAACTCTCCTGGGGACTTGACTGGGATCCCAGCCTTTCCCTGGGGGCAGAGCAGACTTCTGGGCTAAGAACTGCAGTGTAGCAAGCACACCTAAGAACACACCTGCCTTGTAATCTCCGTGTCCTTCTCTTCAGTCAGAAACAGGAGGGGACCCCTGAGGCGATATCATTGGTTAGTGAAGGTATGTCCTTTTTGCTACCTGATCTGGGCCTGGGGAGACAAGGTAAGGCCAAGCTTACCCTCCAAGGGATCTCAGAGAAAGACAAAAGGAGGCGAAGTACCTGGGGGAGGAACTGAGTGTCTGGGAGAGGCAGCCACGTGCTCAGGGCTATGTCTGTCCTGTTTCTAGTGGGGAAGACAGTACAAGGTCATGGGCCAGCCCACATCTCACCTGTGTGTTGAGTAGTAAGTAAGGAGACAAATGGATTAGGTACAGCATGAGTCAGATGCTGGGCTTGGCACCGAAAAACGTGTTCCCAGTGCCACAGGCTCTCAGAGGACACTGGGAACACAGCCTTGGAGGCCTGCCTGCATGGTACTGTGGTGCTTAGTGGAAAAAGGCACCATCCTGATTGAATACCTTTCTAAAAGGGCCCCCCTTCCTCTAGGTTGATGCAGACCCATGCCCTTGTGCAGGGTCCAATCTGCTCAACTGTATACCTGACCATCGGTGACGTCTGAGTGGGCTTCTGCAGCACACGGGGGCGTTTGTCAGAGGCAGGTAGGCCGAACTTGGAGTAGGGGAAGTCAGACCAGCAAAGGTGTGCAGGGAGCACTGTGAAGGGCGTGGGGGTGAGTCTTCCAGGTCTTGTGCCCTGAGGAACCTGGGTGGTAAGAGGGGGTTTCAAATGAGAGGGCTTTATTTGGGGACAGTGGAACCCTCCATTTACCTGCAGTGGCTGGCTGAGCCAAGGGGTGGAACCTGAGGCTGGGAGAACAGTGGGAGGCTGTTCTGATGTTGTCAATGAGAAGAGCTGTGGCCCAAGGGTGGCCTGAGTCAAGGTAGGACTCCGGGAAGGGGAAGGGATGAGACCCCATTCTTGCCAAGGGGAAGTGTGATCAGCCCTGACAGTGTAGGAAGGACTGCCGGCCCAAGGACTGCTGTGACAGGCATTGGCTGTGGATCTTGCACGCTTTGAATGAGCTCAGCTCATCTCATCTTCCTCGTCCTCTTACCCCCCTCAAGCTTCCATTAGGGTGGAGGGCTAACATGAGGTCTGGGGCTACCCCAAGGAGCCCAAGAAAGCAGTTAGGAATTGGGACAGATGGTGGAGCCCCAGGCAGAACAGGCAGCTCTCTGGCCATCTGGGGATATGCCTCACAAAGGAAGCAAGCCTGGATTTGCACAGAGTATGCTGGAGAATTCTGACTTCAGCACGTTCCTACCACTCATGAGCCTGAAGGGGAGCAGTGCCCCAGCGAGAGCACACTGACACCAGGGGGCGGTAGAACCCAGCATTTCTGTTATCCAGCTGGTGTTTGTCCCTTGTGATCACCAGTTTTCAGGTTGACCTTCAGGAGGCTGAATTTGTCTCAGCTGAAGCCCCAGAAAGGACCCAGGACTGTCCCCTACACAGGGTGAGTGAGCATAGGCTCTGGTTTGTTTGCAAAAAGAGGCCAAAGTTAATAGGCTTCTGTATCACAGAAGTTGCACTGTGTATCCAGCCAGCACCTGGTATACCATAGGCACTCAAATCTTCATTGAGTGGAGGAGGTACTGGGTTCTGTGTGTGTGTGTCTGGGGGTAGTATTTTGTGAACATGTGTACTTAGTGTTTCACCGAGCACTTGCTGTGTTCCAGTTGCTATGTTTTGTGATTCTTTGTCCTTCTGGTCCTGTCATCCCCATTTCCTGGATGAGGTATTGAGACCCAGGGAGGTTCAGTGGTGAACTACCTCATAAGAGCTATCAGTCTGACCACATTCTTAGGCTTCCACCAGCCAAGGCCTGAGCTTCTCCAGCAGGCTGGTTAGTGGGCATGGGTGAAGAAGTGGTCTTTGAACAGGGGCATATTTAAAGAGAGGGTATCTGTAAAGTACCAGCAGGGGCTGGTACACAGGGTAAGGCTCATTAAATGCTGGGCAAATTATAACAATTCGTGCTAGATCTTCCTTAAAGGAGGCTCAGGCTTCCAACATGCAGGAAGGGGCCCAGAAAGGAGTAGGTGTTCCATACTAAGGGAAAGGGTGTGAGGAAAGGTGGGTGATAAAATGAATGAGGTCGGGACACAAACTCTGCTGGCTGATGAGGTTGCCAAGGCTGGGTTCTTCAGGCTTGGAATGCCAAGCCACATTGTGCTGACTTTGTTCTGTGTAGTGGCCACATTGAGGAGGTGTGACTGGAACTGGACATGTGGATGGCCAAGGTGATGCCCTCCCTATGCTGCTAAAGCCCCATGCACATTCTGTTGGCTTCCTCTACAAGTCCTAAGATCTCTGAGGGCAGGACCAGAGTATTTATTTCTGTGTCCCCAGCTTGGGACACGCTATGCATCAATGTTTACTGTATAAATGGATGAGATGAAGAATTTCCTGAGGGTAGTTTATTTTAATAATAGCATGGTTATCTGTTTCCTTGCTACAAGTCAGTCAGCAAAATAGCAGACTTTGAGTGCTGTCCTATTAAGGTGCCAGGCTCTGTGCCTAGCTGGAAGGTGACATCATGTGTTGGAAGCAGTAGAGAAAGCAGGTATGAATTTGTAGGTAGATCTGGGTTAGTGGTCACTGGAGACCCTGAAGTGTGGAGAACCAGTGCTTCCTGGAACAGAATAAGAGGGCCCACAAATGAATATAGGAATGAACCCACTACTTCAGGGTGAATGGTTTTGTGGGAGGTGGGCTTTTCTGAAGGCGGTTGTTTCCTTGGAGCTCCAAGGTTCTGGCTTCTCCATGGGCTGGCCACTCTACTGAGCATAGCTAAGAGGAATCTGCTCACCCCACGGACGGTCTGGTATAATGGCCTCTTCCCTGCGTTGGCCTGGCCAGCATTCCCACCCCAGGATTGTTGAGTGAGGGGAGTGCTGTGGAGAGAAGCCCTTCGTGCCATCCCTTCAGGATGCCCAGGGGTGGGTCCTTCTCATTTATTCAACCGCACCTGGGAAGTGTGCTTATTCCATGGGTCTGCTTCCTTGGTGTAGCTCCTGATTGATGTGGGACCTGGAATCTGTGACAGACTGAAAATGGAAAATGGGAAGTGACTTGGGACAGAAATTCTGAGCCACTCTGAGCTGTTGATTCTGAGACACCACCAGTCATCTTAGAGCCTGAAAAATTTGTCCAGGAAGTCCTACCTGACCTTTTCCACCTGCTCTTTTTAGAATGGCCTTCCTGACCCCAGGCCTAGTCCAGGCACTTGGCTGTGGGGTCCATGGAAAGGGTGGTTGGTGAGCTGACATCTGCTCATTCAGACCTGCATCCCTAGAGAGCTGCCTCTGGGAGCTTTGGAGTCGCAGCCAGGCCATAGGGGAACAGTCTGTTCTCAGTGCTCGGATTGCTGGATCAGCAAAGCTGGATCGGCACCTGTTGGGGCCTGGAACAGACCTAGTGATTGAGGCTATGGGAGGAGTGAGAGAGGGCAGGCAGGCCCAGGTCAGAGGCACAGCTCTGGGATGGACCAAATGACCAGTGCCTGGAACCTCACCCCACATCTAGCATAGGCACCAGTGCATGACATGAATCGTAATGGGCCAGGAAGACTCTGCCCTCTGCAAATCCCTGTTTTTCCCCCTTGTGGACCCTCGAAGGGGCTGGGACTCCCTTGTGGAGCACCTCCTGCTCACCCAACCCAACCTTAATGTGGCTCATGCTGGGCACTGATGCAGGGCCTGCCAAATAGGCAGAGAGGCCCATGAGAGGGAGAGTGAAGTCAACCAGAGATTGGATAGCAGAGTCAGCTGGAGGCACACAGCAAGCACAGTCAGAGCTGGGACCAAGAACAGCAAGGTGGGATGTGGGCCAGCCAGTGAGATTGGTCAGGGTTGTTGGCTAGAGGCTGGGCAGCAAGGGCCTCAGGCCAGTCTGAAGAAGGCAGTTATTAGCATGGAGAAGGGAGTCCCTACTGGGGCCTGTTGGGAAGGGCAGCATCTCTGGCCCCTCAAGCTGGGGCTGCAAGAAGCCCACCAGAACCATGCTTAGCGGCCAGACAGCCTCCGTGCTGATGGTGACTGCACCTTCCAGCACATGGGCTGGATGTGGTGGTGGGGGGGACCCTTTCTACTTACCCGTACTCAGCCCCGCCCCCTGCCTGCAGGCCCCCTCCCACCAAGCCTGGCCCTGTGCAGGGATTGGAGGAAAAGGGAGGGCAGGCCATGAGTATTCCCTTGTTCGCGTGTCCCTGACCTCCTCGTCCATGCCAGCCAGCAGTGAAAGCTGTGACCCGTGAAGCCGCTTTTTTGGGTCTCGTCCTCAGAGTCCTCTTTCCTCCTCTGCCTCCGCTTCTCCCTGAACTCTCAGAGACATGCCTGGCGTCTTGGCTTTGTAAGCACTTTGTGTGCCCTAACTAGCAGTGGGAGGGCTGAGACAGGAGGCAGCACGGGGCTGGGAGGTGGGCAAGGCCTGCCTCCCTTGCAGTGCGGGAGGTCAGTGAAACAGTCTCCTGTCGGTTCAGAATCAACTCCTCAGTGGTTTTGTCCTCAGTGTCCTCTCAGACTAGGTGACCTGGCTGTGTCTTTGTGTCCTGTTAATAAGACTCTCAGCAGCCATAGGGCACAAGATCTACACCATGGTGACCGGACAGCTCCCAGGGACCTTCGACTATCCAAGCAGCTTCTGGCTGCTGAAAGCCTGACCATGGCCTGGCCTGTCTGTTGAAGCAGGAGTCTAAGCCTTGGCGTGTCTCAGAAGCTAGGGCCTCTGCACACTGGGCTGCCCTGAAACCCAGCACAGACAGCTCCAGGGTGCTCCTGGCAGCAGCATGTGGGAGCCCCCTCTCTGGGCGCCTCAGGGTCTCCTTGTTTACTGCATTTTTGTTCTTCCCGTTTCTTTCTCCGTGCTCACCAGCACCTCTGTGAGGATTACCGGTGGTCTCTTACACAAAAAAGCCATTCTCCCTCCAACCTCCCCCATTCCTCCTCGCCCCCCATACTCAACCTGGACTGTTCCTAGAAAAGAAAAAATCCAGTGGAGCCTCCCAAAGGGGCAGGGTCTGCATCTCCACCCTCTCCGACCTCACACAGTGCTTCTCTCAGCGGCAGCCCCACAGGCGCAGCTCCCCCTGGCGAGCTGATGGGTTCTTCACGCTGGGTGGAGAGCGAGATTCCAAGTGCTGGGTTCCTCGGTGGGTCAGCGTGAACAACGTCCAGTGGCCTTCTCAGGGCAGCTAGGGCCCCATTTTGCTTCCGTCTGAAAGAGATTTTTGTTTTCTGGTGAGAACAGCCCCAGCCCCAGCCTGGCTGGGCGCCGGAGCCGGCAGCAGAGCACAAACCCTTTCATGTGACAGGCCCGAGTGGAGTGATGTAGGCCTGGCCGGCAGCAGCGGGCCCTCCCCTGCCACTCCTCGGGAAGCTGTGGCGTTTGCATATCCCTCTTTCATCCTGGCCTTGAAAAGGAGGCCTGAGTCCTGATGTTAACTCTGTGGACACCAGCAACAGGCCTGGCCCCACCCGCCTGGAGGGCAACTACTCTGATGCTTTGACCTCTAGCCGAGTGACTCGAGACAGTCCGGGTTCCTGCTGACCGGCACAGCCTTTTGCTGAACTGGGGGAAATTCAGATTTGTTTCTTACTGGGACATTCAGAAGAAAGATTTTGCCAGAGTGCAAAGAAGCCAGAAAATTAAGGTATTCATCATTTTTGCTAGAAATTTTACTCTTGACCAAAGGCAAAACTTTTTTCTTACTCATTATCTAATCTACAAAACAAACCAACAAACAAAACGAAACACAGTACCAAAAGATGACCCATGCCATGGTGGGTAAGCAACCAGGCAAGTCTCTGCCACACTGTCTGAGCTCCTTGACCTCTACATGTATCTTGATAGGGAACTTCCTTACCTCGGGGAGCCTCCCCCCAGAAGGAGGAGGTCACAGCCTGTCCCACCTGTATCCTGGCCACAGCAGTTGAACTCTGAGAGCATGGCCCTGCCTGGAATAGCCCATGTGCCCTCTCCTGAGCTGGATCCTGTAGGGTTTGCAGCATGTCCTCACTTTGGGGCTGTGATGGAAAAGGATCTCTGCTCCCAAGGCCGAGACTCTGGCAGTGCTAATGGGGACATGGCTGGGAGGAAAAAGATCATGTTGCAGCCACAGGATTCTGTTTCCTGCGGAGTGGGGCCTTGAGAGGAGTTATTCCTGTGCAGTGGTCACAGCCCTCACCAGTGTCCCTAGGGTTTGTCCCAGGGCTTGGTGTGGAAGGAAGGACGGGGGGCTGAGGTGCGCCCACACCCTAAGTCCTGGCCATCCCTATAAATGTTGCTGGAGGGACCGCTGGCATTGTTGAGCCTCTGCTGTTGCTCTTTTCCCTGTGAATGTTGTTGTGTCGGATTCACGAGAAGGACGGCCTTTATCTCAGAGCCTGCGAAACTGTGTTTCTGTTTGTTTCTCCATTCTCAAGGCTTTTCATATTTTTACGTTCCTGAAAGTGTGGTTTTGAGGCTGGCTGCCCAGTTCCAGGCATGTGGGTCCACGTTCTCTGACCAGGCTTAGGGTGAGTGAAATGCTTGAAAGATGCTGTCTTGAAGACAGGGGGAAAAGGGGTGGCTGACACTGATAAAGGGAGACCTGTCCGCCACACATCTGTGTAGCTGGAGCAGGTGACTCTGCAAAGTGGAGGGGCACAGCCAGCCTTGGGTGGGCCTTTTCTAGATTCTAGGGGCTTACTTGAATCTTCAGAGCTATCCTGGGACTCCTTGAAGAGGCTCAGTGAGTGAGGCACCCCTTAACTCAGCAACCCCATTTCATGGGCTGCTATCTCATGGGGATGTGCAGTGGGTTGCTCACCTGGCAGTTTCCAGGCCAGGGAGGCCCTCAGCCTCATCAGTGCCCCAGTCACCTGTAGTTCTCTGAATCTAATTAAAACCTAAGAGATGGACAGAAAGCCCCTGTCTCAAAGCAGGGGCGAGGTTGGAGCCCTGTGTGGGCGGGGGTGGATGTTGGGCCAAGTGTGGGCTACTGTGTGTGTGCTTTCATGGGTCAGGGTCACAGAAGTGTGACAGTGACGTCTATGTGTCCTTTAACCTGGCTCCTGGGCCACACACTTCCTGGGACAAAGTTGCTCCGTCAGCTCTGTACCCCTGACACTCACCAGAACCTGGTTTGTGGCCACTGGATCTCCTGCCCGAGAAGCTGACTTGAGGAGTCTGAGAGGCGGCTTTTATCTTATTTAAAGACATCTCAGAAAATATCAGGAGAAAACTGGAGCTTCCGCCAGAAAAGAAAGGGAAAGGGCTCCGTGGGTCGCAGGTGCATTCTAATTGGGGTAGACTGGGGAGGCTGGGTCACTTTCCAGGGGAGGGCTGCGGGGCAGGAAGTGCTCTTCCTGGCTGTGTTAAATGGTGGGGTGAGCCAAGGAAGCTGCTGTCAGCCCCGGGGAAGTGTTGCGAGCCTGGGCTCTACAGTCGGCAGTCAGAGTGGGCAAAGACCTCTTGGGAGGGAGCTCCAGAACTGGAGGTGGCTTGGGGTATCCTTGCTGTGGGGGATATGAGTTGGATTGGGGTAGACAGCAGCCCAGTATGGGGGCTTAGGTGGCTTGTACTTAGCAGTTGCCACTCCATGCCTGTTGTGTGCCCTGCTGTGAGTCCCAGAGGTAGGAGTAAAGAGGCTGCAGAAGTAGCCAACCTCACCCTGTTGCCTGGGATTGCAGGGTCCCAGTCCCGCAGAGGCACCACCAGAGTCCAGAGCTCAGCTTTGCTTCCAACAGGAAAGGGTATGGATCCCACCCCTGGGTTACCATCATTGCTGGGCTAGCCAGGAAGCAGCGTTGCTCGGAGCTGGTACGAATAGGGCCTGGGTGGCCCTGAGCCTTGAGGAAGAGATGAGCCACTGTCTTCTACCTGCTGACCCTGATCCTTGGTTCCTAGTGTCCCTACTCCCCAGAGCTTCTCCCAGCAGATGTTTGATTTGGGAATGTGCCCAGTTCCTTTCCTCTCCCTGAACAGACTGGCTGTGACCTTGCAGGGCTGGGGAGTGGAGCAGTCTGGGAGAGGCTGGAGGCAGAGATTCCTTTAGAAGGGACCATGTGGGTCTTCCCACCTCCCCACCAGTCTTGCTTACTCTAGGTCCCCAGCCCAGGACTGAGGCCCTGGCCCCTAATCGGTATCTCAGATGAAGGTATAAAGGACACTTTGTCCCTCAGAAATGTGCTTGGCAAACTCCCCTCCAGGACTTAAGCTGAAGAGTGCGGGTTGGGTGCAAGGTATGTCAGCAGAGGCTCGCATAAGCTGGCAGAGTGAGGGTTAAGGCTGGGTTGCTTGGCTGTGAGCTGATCTGAGCCAGCACCGCCCCATGTGCTGAAGAAGGGGGGTAGCGGGGGCCTTGAGGGCCGGCAGCTCCTCACAGAGCCTCTCTGCCCCTGCTCCCTGCCAGACCTGCTCCCACAGCCACCAGGGAGCCTCTACCACCACCCAGCTTCTCAGAGCAGGTGGCTGTTGCCATCGGCTGTTGCCATCAGCTGTCCCCAGGAGGGCAGGCTTGGGGCAGGGCCTTAGTCACTTTTGTGGATTGATCTAGATGTGGTAACCTCTTTCCCTGGGCCCCACAGGCCCTATAAAGGGAGGCTGGTTCTAGTGGGACAAGCTCAGTCGCCTCCCCAGTGCCAGGAGCCCGCTGGAAAGGTAGGGTGTGAATGCATCTACTTTCGCAAGTTGTCTTTGAACCCCTTGGCTGGCAGAGATGTGGGGGAACTGCTTCTGCTAACTCCCCTGTGCTGAGTGTCTCCCTTCTCGTGTGCCTGGCACCGCCCTCTCTGTCCATGAGCTGGTCTGAGACAAAGTCTGGAGGGGTGAAGTGACTTTCCCAAGGCCATGCAGCTGGCAAGATATTGAGTCAGGATGTGCATCCAGGTCTGTCTGGCACTGGACTCCCCTTTCCCCCAACTTGTTTGCAGGGCCCTGGGAAAGGTTGCAGATTTCTTTACGGAGCTGTTCACATGGGAGTTGAAGAGGTTTTCTGATGAGCTGATGGCTTTGTTGTGCTTCCCCACTCTTCTGAAGGCTTCAGAGTTTGCAGAGGCCCAGAGTCCTACTGCAAGAGCCCCCAATCCAGACTGTCCCCAAGGGGAGCTTGGATGATGCTAAGGGGAAGGAACAATCTAAGGACCGTGGTGGTGGCAGAGTCGGGACTGGGGTGGGAGGGAGGACAGAGGGGTCAGGGAGGGTGCTCAGTGCCAGCATGATGAGTTTGGACTTTGGTCCTCGGGCAACAGGGAGCCAGGTAAAGTTTGTTGAACAGCATGATGACATGGTCCCATCTGCATGGTGGGAAAATAGCTAGTATCAGTATAAGCATGGACGAGAGCAAGGAGACCAGTCATAGGCCTGGCTGCTCTTAGTGGTGGCTGGGCCAGGCCTGGACTGGGGTGGGAGAGGAGTGGTCCAGTTTGAGAGGTGGTTAGGAAGTACTGCTGACCAAGCAGGTGCTGGTGTTAGGAGGCGGACCAGCACAGCGTTCTTGGAGCTGAGCCATGGGCCCCAGGGCCATTTCCACAGAGACCGTGCTCTGGGGCCTTCCTCTGCCACCCACCTCCCTGGGCACAACGTGTTCTCACCCAGTATGGTTGCAAGAGCAGTGGATTTCACTACCAGCCTCCATGCAACCCTGAATCAGCAGGGAATGAGGTGAGGTAGAACTCCCTCTCCTGCCCACCATCCCTGTGCCACTGCTTGGTATTCTGACTGGTGTAGACCAGAGGAAAAGGCATGGGATGTACCAGGGGTAGAGGAGGAAGCAAGTTCCTGCAGAGGACTGGGAGCTCCTGCCAGGTGAATATTTACAAACACTCATAGACACTTCCTTGGCAACACCAGCACCAGCGACTCCCTTGGGTGCTGTCTGCACACACACACACACACGCACATGCACACATAGACACACACTGCTGCTGCAGTCAGGAAGCCTCCTGGGGCAGAGAAGGGGACAAGCCACAGCTGGGGCCCCAGGAACCACCAAGCATCGTCCCAGGTGCAGAGAGGCATGGAGGTCAGAGGAGGCCAAGGCCCTGTGCAGTAAAGAGATGAGCACAGACTCCCAGGCCTGGGCTGTGCCATCCCCTGCCAAGGGCTTGGTGGCGTGGGGCTGGCTCCGAGGCCAGTGTCCTTAGAGGACCTGAACTTGCAGTTCTGCCCACAGGTCTGAAAGGGCTCTCAGGATAAGTGCAGGCGGTCCTGACTGTCTGAGGTTGCTGAACCTAGAAGAATGAGACCCCACGGTGGCTGCCCAGTTGAGGAGTACAGGCCCAGCTTCAGGGCCAGGGAGCTGCTGCTGGTACTGCAGATAACTCCTTGATGGGGTAGTAGGGGGCTAGGGAGGTGCTGAGTATAGTGGGCAGCCAAGCCTTTCCCTACTGCTCTCCGTTACCCTAGGCAGGAGGAGAGGACCTAGCCCGGAGAGCATGGTGAGCTCTTGCTGTGAGGCCAGGAGGGAGCCTTGTGCTGTGTGCAGCACACCCGGCAGGCGGCTGACTGGCTGATCTTCACAGGCTTTGGGGGTCCTGTGCTTTCCCACCCCTAGAATGCAGCCTGGGCTCTTCTGAACAGGATGGAGCTGGTTTTCTGTGGGTTCAGCACCAGTGCAAAGGAGACGATGGGTTATGGGGGTGGGTCCAGGGCTGGCAGGCAGTGTAGGGTGTCCGCACGGCACGGGTTCGGGGTTGAGTCTCGGCTCTACTCCTTGCTTCCTGAGGAAGGGCAGTGCTCCAGTGGACCCTCTGCGTCCCCACGTTACCGTTCACGAGGCTCTTGAGAGGATCAGGCAGTGCACTGTGCAAGGGCTTCCCGGTCGACTGGAATGCGGGGAGTTGAGACAAGTGCTTTTTTTCCCTCTAGGGAGGACTGGTGGTCACATGGTGACTACTGAAAGCACAGCAGACCCAAGAGGCCAGCCCCACACTCAGGCCCCTGACCTTTGTACAGGATTTCGTGGGCTCAGGACTTCACTTTCTGAATAGAATCCTCAGTTCTCTGAGTGCTCCACGCACTCTTTCGATTCAGCCTTTGTGTAGTTGCCTCCCTCTGCCTGGGCCCCCTTTCCTCATTTTCCTTCTGTCTCAGCATCTCCATCACTTCCTCCCTGAAGCCTCCCCTGACTTCCCATACCTGATTCAGGCGCTGCCCTGGCCTGGCACATGCTGCACAACACTAGCCCACTCCCCTGTGACCCAATACTGAGCTCAGTGAAAGCAGGGGTCGCTTGAGGCTCTGCAAGGTGGGTGGGTGAGAGGATGGATGGCTTGGCCACCCTGGGTTGTGCCCTATGAGAACTCTAGCATTGTACCAAATGCCACAAACAGTCCTCTTGCTGCTGCAGCATAGGGTCTGTGAGCAACTGCCGAGGGCCAGGGACTCCTGGCAGAGAGGTGACCTTCCGGGACTGTCTCTAGAGAAAGTTTGGGAGTGTGTAACAGAGTCCTCAGTGTCTAAGTGGGACTTCATGGGTCTTGGTTTCTGTACCCATTGATTGAGTTTAGCTCCTTAAAGGAGATGTCAGTCAGCTGAGAGCCCACCCGAGCGCTGCAGTGTGTGTCTGGAATTTGCATCACGTGACTTGTCTTCTGATCTGTGGTTTAGGGAAGTACATGTCCCAGAAGGCCGCCTGGCAAGCTGTCCAGAGTCCTCCCCAGGGCGGCTTCCCTTGGTGGATTCACTGTGGTCTGTAGCTGGGCCTCTGCTTTGGTGCTGCAGACCCTGACTTTGATGGGCATGCTGGGAGTGGGCCATCCCTGTGAGGTGACCTCACAGCTGACCTTAGTTAAGGAAGCTGGCAGGAAGACACCATCTCTGGTTTGGGAGCTGAGTGAGAGTGTTTTGCTCGTCTGGGTGTTCACTTTCCCTGCTTCCCCGGGAGCATTCAGAAGCTGTGGGTGGCTGGTAAGTTTTCCCAGCTTGCAGTGCAGTGCCCTCCATAGAGCAGAAATTTCTGTGGGCCATGGTGCCTCTGTGCAGTGTTTAGATCAGCCTGGGTGGGGCTACCCCTGACCCCTTTTCCGCTGTGTGGGCTGAGCATCTATTTATCTGATAAACACATCCGTTAGCTGTCACTTTGGTCCTCAGACTACACCAGATGCAGCGTGAAGAGCTTTCCCTGCTTATGTGGTACTGTACCCATTTTAAAGATGGAGAAGTGGAAGCTTTGCACAGCTTGAAAGGATGTGAAGCAAGGAGCTTTCCCGTCTCTCTGCAGTGACTTTGCATGATGTTGACCTCGTCTCTGGTGTGGCCGTGTCACAGTTTAGCACAAATCCCATTTGTTGAGATTTCAGCAGCTTTTTCCTTTGTCAGGGGTCAAGCACTGGCTCCTGCCCATGGCTACAGAGTGGCCACTGTTGTGTTTCTCCTTGCTTCCCAAGAAGGGAAGCCACGGCCATGATCCCAGGACCTCAAGCCTGTGAGGAGTGTCTGTGGACAGTGCCTCACTGCTCATTTAATCAGAGACCATTGTCTTCACAGCATGAGGTCTGGAGGCTGCCCCTTCCCCCTGCCACCCATGTCTCCTTTAAGGTCAGGTTGGGAGCTTAGAGGTGAAGCCGGGGGAAGCCTGCCTCTCTCTTCCCCGCTCATCCTGGCCAGTGTCCTGGGCACTTCTGTCGTCTCCACACCTCAGGAGCCAGGATAAAGCAAAATGCTATGACCACAGTCACACAGAAGAGGCCGAGCAGCCAGGCCCTGGGCACAGGAGGCTGTGTTTCCAGAGCTGCCTGAGCGCACTGTGGTCCCTGGAGGTCGTGGAGACTGCTGTAGGTTGTCCCCAGGGTCTGCGTTTGTGGTTCTCAGGAGCACAGGGCTGGATGTCCACCTGCCAGGTGTACATGCTGAGGGTTCTGGCCTCTTCAGGCAGGGCCCTTCCAAGGGGCCAGCTCCTGGGGTATGCTGTATTATCCCCGGGAGACTAGATGCTCTTACCAGCTGCCCTCCAGGATACTGGACCAGGGCCACCAGTGATCTAGGAGCCCGGCCAGCCTGCCCTCCAGGCCTCTTCCCTTATCTGCCTCTTGTCTCCTGCAGAGTTTGTCCTCTCACTCCTGGAGAAGATGCAGACACAGGAGATCCTGAGGATGCTGCGGCTGCCCGAGCTGGGTGACTTGGGCCAGTTTTTCCGCAGCCTCTCAGCCACCACCCTGGTGAGTGTGGGTGCGCTGGCTGCGATCCTCGCCTACTGGTTCACTCACCGGCCAAAGGCCTTGCAACCACCGTGCAACCTCCTAATGCAGTCAGAAGAAGTGGAGGTGAGCAGGGGAGCCTCCAGATGGGGGAAGTCGTGGGCAGCAGACAGGTATCTTGAAGGTAGAAGCCTAGTGTGTGACTTACTTGACCGTCAGTCAGCAAGTCCGAAGCTGCCTGGGGCAAGGTCTCCCACCAGATGCCTCTTCTTCCTCTCGAACGACCTGCCACTAAGTGGAGCCTGACTTTGGCCTTGCTGTGAGCCTCTTGGGTAGGGTCCTTGGTTCATTGGTGCCTTGGCAGAAAGCCTAAGCCGATCCTCAAGAGGCTGCCTGGAAAATTGCTTCCCAGACATTACCTGTGCCTTGGCCTGGTTGGTGCTGGGACCCAGAGCTGAGCCCACCCCCAGGTTCTTCCCTCTCGCAGCAACTGGGCTCACAGGTGGAGGCACTGTGGGGAAGAAGGTACCATGGCCCAGCAGGTTGCCCAGGCTGAGCCTGGATGGACTGGTGGGTTTGTTTCTTTATTAATCTTATGGAATTTGTTTTGCCTTCTAAAAATTTGCTGGTTTTTCCCCTAAACTTTAGCTCTATTCATTTTGAACAGATAATATGAGGCATCTTCAAAAAGTTCATGGAAAAATGTGTATTATGAGAACATTGTGCATGATTTCAGGGTTTTTTTTTTTGCACCAAAATAAGCTTATTTTAAAATTCTGCTTTCCATTAACTTTTTTTTTTTTTTAAAAAGGATTTATTTATTTATTTGAAAGTCAGAGTTACACAAAGAGAGAAGGAGAGGTAGAGAGAGAGAGAGCTTTTCCATCTGCTGGCTCACTCCCCAATTGGCTGCAACAGCCAGAGCTGTGCCAATCCAAAGCCAGGAGCCAGGAGCTTTTTCTGGGTCTTCCACGTGGGTGCAGAGGCCCAAAGACTATTTTCCCAGGCCATAGCAGAGAGCTGGATCGGAAACGGAGTAGCTGGGACTCCAACCAGCGCCCATATGGGATGCTGGCACCACAGGCTGTGGCTTCATCCGCTATGCCACAGTGCCGGCCCCTCCATGAACTTTTGAAGTTGCCCCTTCCACATTGTCACACAGTATGAATGACACAAAAAGACATATGCTGAAAAGCTCTTGTTTTGCCTCTCTTAGGGCGGCCTATTGATGGTTCCCTCCTAGCCAATTGTATGGAGATCCTGCTCCTTTTAAATGATGTGCTGCATATACTCTGTTGTGTATAGTGCTTTTTACTATCCTTAGCTCTGGACACTATATCGTGGCAGTGATAAACATGGTGGTGTTTTGCCTGGAAGGGGGGGGGGTGTAGGCCAAGATAGGGGCAGGAATCTTAAAGGCATGTTTCCAGCCTCAAGGGTGAGGTGGGATAAAGCACACACCTGTGCGTGGCTTTGGGAAATGATGACTTGTGTTGGGTGCTGGGCAATGGGTGGAGAGGGGATGGCAGGGTGGTGATGAGAATGGCCTTAAGCAGCTGATGTTGGTGGCCTGGAAACCAGCTGGTGTCTCAAAGGAGCACTGTGGCCCTCAGCATTTTGTTACCTGTTTTTGCCTCAGTGTCCTTGGTTGTAAAGTGGATAATGAAAGAGCGCCTGTTTCCCCAGGTGGGATAAGGATTTGGGGGAATGGTGTACAGAAATCCCTGAGAGTACCGGGGTTTTGTTGTGTTTTTGTTTTGTTTTGTTTGTGTGTGTGTGTGTATGTGTGTATGTGTGTGTGTGCGTTCGCGCATGTGTAAGCTTTTAATCCTAACTCACCTGCAGTGGTCAGCAAGAGCAGAGCCCCATGAGCTGGTGAACTGGGCAGCATGGATTTATTTTGGGTTTCAGTGGGGAGAGACCTGCACAATTTGTGCTATGGCAGTGGCAGGTGTGAAGAGGCAGCTGTGGGTGTCTGTGTTGGAAGTGACAGTGACCTGGATGGGGTTAGGATGGTGAGAGGCTGGCTGTGGCTCAGTGTGTGGAGGCCGCACAGACTGAGTTGCCTGGCTGAGAAGCCAGGGCATAGATGAAGCAAAGGCTTCCCTTCCTGGCCTCACCCCCAAGCAGTGGAGAAGGTCAGAGAAGCTGTAGCAGAGTGCAGGAAGGGGAGAGTAGTCGGAAGGGAGTTGAGAGAGGGCCAAGATCTTACTTATTCTTTGTGCTCTGTGGTAGGAAGCAGAATTCAGATCATGTTACTTCCCCTGTCTGAATCCTTCTCCTGGCTCCCCATTACCTCAACCTAAAGTTCAGACCCCTACCTTGATCTGCATTCTCTCTGGCCTCTCCCCACTACTTTCCCTGGCCATCTAGAGCTCTGTGAATTGGCTGCAGTTTCTCAAATGTGCTGGTGCCTCCTGCCCCATGCATTCACATTTGCCTATGCTAAAACTGCCTGCTCCTCATTCATTCTGCCTGGCAAATTCCTGTGCTTCAAAACCCAGCTCAGGTGGCCAACCTTGTGGTACAACAGGTTAAGCCACCATTTGTGATGCCAGCATTCCATATTTGAGTGCTGGTTTGAGTCTCAGCCACTCTGCTTCTGATCCAGCTCCCTGCTAATGCACTTGTGAAAGCTGCAGATGATGGCCTATGTACTTGGGTCCTTGCTTTCCATGTGGGAGACCAGGATGGAGTTCCTGGCTCCTGGCTCCTGGCTTTAAGTTAGCCCAGACAAGGCTAGTGTGGCCATCTGTCTCTTCCTTTCCTCGCTCTTTACTCTGCTTTTCAAACAAATAAAAAAATCTTTTTTTTTCTTTATAAACTTCAGCTCTGCAGCAACTTCCTAACACACACACCAGCTTTGGGCCTCCTGTGTTCCTGGGACACAGTCTCTTGCTGTTTCAGGCCTGTTGGCTGCTGCTAGTCAGGTCTGACTGCACATGCCCCCAGCTTTCCACATGGGTTTTCCTTGGGCCTGGTGCTTAGAAGAGTTCCACTCTGAAGCCTTTGCAAGCTGATTGTGACTCTGAGTTTGGGGGTTAGTCTTGTGGTACTCTCAGACGTTTTCCCCCGATCCAATGTTCCAAAAAGTGGCAGACTCTGGGCCAGCCAAGGGCAACCCAAACAATGCTCAGAGAAGAGGTGGAGCTGTGGCACTGGAGAGTTCTGGGATGGGGAGCCTGGGGAGGGCTGGCAGGGTAGGAGGGGGAAGAAGCCTTGCTCCTCTCCCTGCCACCTGCGCAGCAGTGTTTGCTGTCTTCCTGCTCTGGGTCTGCACTGCTGTGGGCCCAGGAGCTCACTGCCCTATCCCCCACCCCAGACACTCTCAAGCCTTCCTAGGCCACAATACCTGGGAAAATACCTTCAGCGTAGTCCCAGTACCTGACCTAGTTCACCCTGTTATGTTACTGGTGGATGACAGCCTTCTTAGCTAAAGACTATACCCAAATGACTCTTCACTTAGGGGTATAGAAATAGGTGATGGTAGGGGCAGGCTGGCCTCCAGCCAACACCCCCATTTCATTGCATGTTTGTGTGTGGACAGTATGCTGACCAGGTATATAAATGCTGTTATGTATCAAATGGGTGTGTACAAGCCATTGGTGTCCTGGGCCTGTGTGCACAAGCCAGCTCTGCTTGAGTGTGTATATTTAGATTGAGTGTATTTGGTATAGGTGTGCATAGGTGTGTGCATGAGGGCACATGGAGCACATCCAGCCCCAGCGGTGTGGATCACGTGTGCAGTTGAGCTGTGTACAGCTTTGAGCTTACTGGGGCCCTCTCCTGGCCCCTCTAACAGCCCCAGTCAGCTTCTCTGGTCTGTGCTTGGCTTGTAGGACAGTGGTGGGGCTCGGCGATCTGTGATCGGTGGTGGCCCTCAGCTGCTCACCCACTACTACGAGGACGCCCGGACCATGTACCAGGTGTTCCGCCGAGGGCTCAGCATCTCAGGTGAGAAGGGCTTTGCCAGTGTGGAGGGGCTGTGTAGGGTATGAGTGAGTGCAAGGCTAGGTAAGCAAGCCTAGGCCCAGTGACAGGGAAAGTGAGCAGTGCTCAGGTTTGTTGGAGAGAAGCCACTCCCGGCCCAGCAGTGAGAGAAGCAGCTATATTATGTGGTCACAGATTCAGCTTTGTTCCAGGTCTTTAGGCTGCCTCACTATAGACTGTCTCAGTCCATAATCCATATACCCATTGGCAGCCCTTGGTGAGCCTTGAGCTGCCAGGCCACTTGGTGGCCTGGTTCTGAACCTGAGCCTCTGCAATGGCAGGCAAAGGGATGGGGTCAGAGAGGCAGCCTGCCACCTCTTCCCAGAGGCCCTCCAGCTGACTGTGCCCTTTTGGGTCTAAAGTAGGGACCATCACACAGTCATGGTATGGCCTAGGCACTGCACTGGTCCCATTCCTGGGCCTCCCTGGTTCCTGGAAGCTGCCAGGCTTGTGTGCTTTCAGCCCTCTTGGACCTTAGCAGATTAGAAAGCCAACTGGGGTAGGGGTGGCGTGCACAGCCCATGGTACCCCACAGCATGGGCTGTCCCTCAAGGTACCTGATGTGATGGGCAGTGCAGGTATCCCACCCTCTGTGCCTTCCTCCCTGGCACAGGCCTTTTGTCTCTCTGCAGGGAACGGGCCCTGTCTTGGCTTCAGAAAGCCCAAGCAGCCATACCAGTGGCTGTCCTACCAGGAGGTGAGTGATGGAGGCAAGACCCCACCCTGCCCACCCATGTGCTCTTGGCACTCAGGAGTGGGGATCTTGGGGGCATCCTGCTGTGTCTCAACATTTTTCATTCCCTGGCCTGCCTGGCCTGCCTCCCAGCCTCTGGCAACAGCCTGCAGGAGCTTTGAGCAGGCACAGGCAGGCGGCCAGGGCGGGCTCTCTGACCTGCAGGAATCCTGCCTAGAGCTCTTCCGTTCCCTGACAAAAAGACCTTGTTTTCCCGAAACCTCTCTGTGTCTATGTGCAGGTGGTGGACAGAGCTGAGTTTCTGGGGTCTGGACTGCTGCGGCACAATTGTAAAGCATCTACAGAGCAGTTTATTGGTGTTTTTGCACAAAACCGGCCAGAGGTAAGCATCTCCCTTTAACTAGCCTTACAGGTGTCTGTGGAGTAGGAATTGGGTACTGTGGAACAGTCTTCCCACTGTTTGTAAGCCCAGGATGAGAGAAAATAGGGAGACCCTTTACCAAGCCACCACCCTTTTCACACCCTGACTTTGCTCCCTGTCAGGATCAGACACTCCAGCCAAGAACTGTCTCCTCCTATCCAGCTCCACAAACAGCTGCACTTGAGCCAAGAGGGAGGAAGGGCCTGGGACAGAAGTCAAGGCAGACCCTGGAAGTGGGCATGGGGCTGTTGGCATATGTAATCAAGGAGTTACAGAATGACTGGGGCAAACACACTCCAGAAAACTGTGGGTGAGCAGGCAGAGTCTGTTAGCCTCGTGGACTCCTTGGCACCTGGAGAGAGTCAGGCATGGGGCCTAGAGCAGGACGCTGGTCATTTGCGCCTAAATACAGTACAGCCCTCTTCTCTTCCCCTCATCTCCCTCCATCCTGCCTCCTGTCTCCACAGTGGATCATTGCGGAGCTGGCCTGCTACACGTATTCTATGGTGGTGGTCCCACTCTATGACACCCTGGGCCCTGGGGCCATCCGCTACATCATCAATACAGGTGAGCCCACTGTTGTCAGCTCCAGTCCCTCCCCATAAGCTGATTGTCTGACTCTTCCAAATAAGACTTTGCTTCTGCTCTCAGGAAACAGTAGGGACTGACACCTGGGCCACCGAGCTGGCATCCTAAGCCCCAGCCGCTTGGGCTTTACCTGAAGGCTCTTTCCACAGGGCTGATGTGCTAAGGAGCCTCCATCTGGGCTACAAGCCTTGGAAGTTCACAGCTGCTGGGAACAGATGCTGGGGGATGTGTTTGTCTCAAGCAGATCTGGGAGGAAGAAGGGCTGAGTGCAGAGCAGAGGAGAGCTTGGCATCTGCTCCAGGATGGGCCCTAGTCTTCTGCCCAGGACTCCCAGCACACTCCTGCGTGCAGATGCACACCCCTGTGGCCTGTCTTGCATACTCACACACAAGCTGTGGTACACACAGCCGAGGTGCTGCTGCCCTCAGTCACAGCCTGCCTCTCCGATGGCCCCCACAGCGGACATCAGCACCGTGATCGTGGACAAAGCTCAGAAGGCTGGCCTACTGCTGGAGCACGTGGAGAAGAAGGAGACTCCAGGGCTCAAGCTGATCATCCTCATGGAGCCGTTCGAGGAAGCCCTGAGAGAGCGGGGGAAGAAGTGTGGGGTGCTCCTCAAGTCCATGCGGGCTGTGGAGGTGAGAGCCCATGTCCGGCTCTTTGCTGGGCCGCAGCTGTCTCACCACTGCCTCAGAGCTGCTGGTTCTCTGCTCCTCTTGTGCCTGGGCCAGTGGTTTTGGGCCCTCGGGGTGGACTAGTGTAGAGCCAGGGTGGAGGGGTCGGTGCCCACATGTGTCCTCTGCGAGACTGACAGGTAGACTGTAGTGCCAGCCTGCCCTGAAGGTACTCAAACAGCCTCTGTAGCCTCCCCGCTTCCGACTGGCATCAGCTCATCTGTGCCTGGGAGTGTAGCCATAAGGTCCATGAGTCTTGGCAAGGTTCTTACAAACATGACCCAGACCCTCAGCAGCCAGTGGAGCTAATTTTTTGCACATGGCCTCTCTGAGGCATCAAGTTGATGGCAGCTTGTGGCCTGCTGTGGCAACACAGGATGTCCTGGCCTCCAGGGCTTCAGGCCCTGCTTGGGAGCAGCTGAACCTCCCCCCACCCACCATGCCCACTGGACGCGGGCCCCTGGGCTTTCCAGTTTTCTTCCTGAACCCTTGTCTGCTCCTCATAGTATCAGTGGTATCTGTGAACTTGTACCCCTCCTGCAGTGATACCTACTGTGTGCCCTGACACTCAGTGCTCACCTGGAAGCACTGGCCACGCAGCATGTGCTCAGGTATCCTGTGAGTATCTTGCCCAACAGGTCCAAAACTCTGAGTGCCATCTGCCCTACTGGTGCGTGCACAATGCCTAGACTCTCACTGTCCTTAGGCCTACATCTGTGATGCGTGGGTGAGCCTGGGACCTCTTGGTTGCCCCCCACCCCCACCCATGTCTCTCTTAGGGGCTTTGGGCTAGATCTCAAAGCAGTTTCCACCAGTAGAGGCCCCTGAGTGCTATCTACACAGGTGACATCTGCAGGGGATCCTGAGCTCTGGGCTTGGTACAAGAGCAAGGTCTCCTGTGCTGGGGTTCGTCTCATTCATGAGAACTTTAGGGCTTTTACAAGCAGCCTTTTTTCTTTTCAGGACTGTGGCCAGGAGAACCACTGTGCTCCTGTGGTAAGCAGATCTGCCTGCAGGCCCTTCCCTGGCAAGGTGGTGGTTGGGACCTGTCCTTGCAGGAGCCCCTCCTGTGTGCAGGGGCTCAGTAGGAGGCCAGACGAGCACCTCTGTGTTCAGAAAGAGCCCTGTGAGCACCCAGGAAATCCTCGCATGGGTGCCCATGTCTCCCATGGGCTGAGGGAGCAGGGAAGGAAAGGAAGGGACACCCTGGGTCCACTCTGTCTTGGGGAAAGCTCATGCCTTCTCTTCACATGTGATGAACTGCCCTTGAGGTGGGATGGGCAGAAGCAGCAACAAAGTCAGGAGCGGGCCCCTGGGTCCTGAGGCTTGGTGGCTGCCTCTGTTGGTTCCTCTTTACTTTGTGAACTATTCTGTGTGTCATCCACTTGCAATACTGCCTGCAATTGTGTTCTAGTGAGAGTAGCTGCCCCCTGGGATGGGTTGGGTGGGCTTGCAGTTTTCCACCAAGGCCTCTGACCTCCAGGCTTCCTCCAGCCCAGTATTTTCCACTCCCTTCACCACTCCTAGTGAGCTCTGCCACACACAGGCCTGAGTAGGCCACAGCTCTGCTTCCTGGGGACCTTCATGGGTGTCCCCCGGTATTTGGCCTGCTCCCAAGCACCAGCCTCTCGCCTCAGAGAACTGCTTAACCCCCTGCTCACTCAGCTCAGCCTGTCCCTTGTGTCTGTGGACCTGTGCCCAAACCAGTTCCTCTCTCCCACAATGTCCTTCTCATTTTATCTGGAGAAATCTTGCTTGTACTACCATCTCATAGGTCACCTCCTTGGGGAAGCCATCTCTCTATGAGCAAGAGGCCTGTTGATCTCTGCCTGGTGACCCTGGGACTGTCTGCCCTGAGCCTGGGCCAAGCCTGGATGCTGAGCAGTTTTGGTGAAACAGTGTGCAGCTCAGTTCCTGAGCCCCATGTTGTATTCCCAGATATGTGGGTGAAAATAGGAAGGAAGCTGGGACTGAGTCACATCACTAGAGAGGTGAGGGCTTTGGCAGAGGCATAGGTGTGGCCTATTTCCTTCTAAGGGAACTCAGCTTAGGCTTTAGTAGGGGGAGCCAGAGGGCCAGGTGTGGGTGGTGGGAAGGATCTGTGTCCACACCCCTGTTGGGTTTCTTCAGCTTCTTTACCCTTTTCTGAGAGTTCACCTTCCCACCTTTCTGACTGCATCACATGAGGGTGTGAGCCGCTGCTAACACAATGCACTCCCACATAAAATACACACGTGGGGCTGGCTGGTGGAGGGGCCCTGGCCAGCCACACTGGGCCTCCCTAACACACACCTCTTCTCACCCTTGCAGCCCCCACGGCCTGATGACCTCTCCATTGTGTGTTTCACAAGTGGCACGACAGGTAAGCAGAGGCAGCCAGATCGGCAGCCGTGGCCACCTGCACCCTTCCCTGGCAGCCTGGCTGGTGACAGCAGTGGTCTCTTGTGCCCTCTCTGTGAGATGGGCTGAGCCTTGTCTCCACACACTGGGTTCCCCCGCTACTGCCAGTGCTCAGAAGCAGGCAGTGGCCAGATGCAGAGAGACAGTGTGGATTGGGAGGTCTGGAGTTGGATGTTGACACTGTCTAGGGCTGAGCTAGCAGAGACCTGGGCAGTGGGTCACATGCTGGGGAAACGACTTTTCTCACTGGGGTCTTTTCTCTATGGGGAACAGCTGTCACCCCATCAGCTTCCTGCCCCCATCCTGGCCTCTGTATCAGGAGCTGGAGGAGTGTGGGGTGTGGCTGCAAGCCAGTCACAACCTCTCTGCCACCACTGTTCCCTGTTTCTCACCTGTGAGGAGGTTGGTTAAAAGTGCCAAGTAGGAGTTGGTAGTGTGTGAGGGTGCAGGTGCTGGGCAGCCCTGGGCAAGACTGGCAAGGGAAGGACACAGAGATGGAGCTCTCCTTGCCAGGCACTAACAGAAGACCACCTGCACCTGCGTGAGCAGGAGCAGTCAAGGAAGGCTCCTGGGAGAGGCAGGATGCACAAGAAGACCATGGCACAGGCACAGCACATTGCATTCTGTGCCTATTCTTCCTCTCCCTCTGTCACGGGGTCCCCAGCATAGCCTCTGAGGTGAGCAGGCTGGCCACCATCTCTGCTCCAGTGCACACCACCTGTGAGGTGGGGATGGTGCTGGGAGCACCAGGACTTGTGCCCTCGCACCTAACTCCCAATCCTTCCATTGCTGCCTCTCCATCTCATCTGACAACACAGGAAGTCGCCTGCCTTGTCTGAGACACATGAACAGTTCCCAGTCTTTTTCTAGACTGAGGACATGTCTGCCTTGATGATAACTCTTGGTGGGCAATGAACTGGGGTTCCCCACCTTTCTGCAGCTGCAGCCTTGAGGGCACCTGGCAGAACCTTGAGCAGCCCCACAAGCAAGATCATCTGTGTCCATGGTCATTGGATCGAGATGGATATTTGCTATTACCTCAAGTGGTTTCAATGGCTTCCACCATACTCTGCTAATCCCCACCAGGAAAAATAACAGCCCTCAGTCTGCGGGAGCTGACACCCAGGGCTGACCCACAATTCAAACATGCCCTTCAGGTCTATGTTGCCTTTTCAGTAGAGCTTGCCAATGTCTTTTTGTCATGAGTGTCAGTGTGAATTTTTGATGACATTGTTTGGGGAGCAGGTGACTGCAGGGTTTTTGTCAGGCTTTTTGTGGATCACTGGACCACAGATGCTGCCCATATCTGGAGAGGGCAGGTCTAAGTGTCTTTCCAACCTGATGATTCCAGGTCAAAAGTAGAGTCAGGCACTGAGTAATGGAAGTGGAATGGGTGGAGCCTGGAAAACAAGTTGACTTAGGTGTCTCGGGCTCCCCGTCTGGAGGGAAGCTGGTACCAGGGCAGAAGCAGGTGGTGAGTGGGCCTCACATTGGACTTCCTTGGCTTTAGGCTAAGCCTGTGCTGTGCCACTTGCGTACGTCCTCTTGTTGGTGCATCATCCTGTGAGTCCTCAGTGTTGTAGCCCACATAGAGCTCCCCTGACACACTGAGCGTCCTGGCTCCTGGCCTCTCCAAGGGCTACGATCTTTCAGTGGGGAAAGATGGAAAGCATATTCTGAACCTGACATTTGGCTCTTGGCTCTGATGGAGTCTTTCTAGGAAGATTTCCTTCCAGGCATGTTGTGGGAACCTCAGCGGAGAATCCTAGAATAAACCCATACTTCAGGGCCCCTGGTCAGGCCCAGGAGGCCTGGGAAGAAGGGAGAGCCTGTGCTCCATCTGGTGGCTGGGTCTGTGGTTGCTTGTTCAGTGCAAAGAGATTGTTAGTTTACTGGGCTGGGCTCTGAACCCAACTCCCCCTCACAAAAAAGGATAGGTTTTGGGGGTAACGTAGCCCTGTTTAGGAAACTGGGGCCTTTGAATGACAGGCATTCACACAGCCTCTCTTCCTAGAGAAGGAAACACAGTGGCTTTCAAAGATGAGCTCCCCTCAGTCATGTATTTTCAGCGTGCCCACCTTTTCTCACTTCTGTATGTGCACTCACTCGCTGCACCTCAGGCCTAGCATTGGGGGCTGAGTACAGAGGGGTGGACAAGACGCAGCCCTGCCCTTTGGGGCTCACCACTCACTTCACAGGGCAGTCACAGTACGATGTGGTCACCGATTACACAGGCTGCTTGGCCACAGAAGGCCCAGGGAGCAACAGTTCTCGGAGGACGTCAGTCTTAGTCCTGGAGATCACAGCTGGAGGAGAAGCAAGGGAAGGGTGTTTCCAGCAGAGGGAACAGCATGGGCAGGGGACTGGCAGCAGGACAGAGGCTGAGTGGGGAGAAGAGTGGGCCTGGAGCAGGGCCTGGGAGCCCTGATGGGAGGGGGGTGAGGGGGCAGAGTTCTAAGAGGCTGTTGCACACGAGCATTGGAGAAGCTAGAGAACAGAGTCTGTGAGCATTGTCTAAGTTGTCCCCGAGGGGTGTTAGCACAAAAGCAATTGCTGGTCACGGGGAGCGGAGTGGCGGAGCTGGCAGTTGCAATGGGTAGAGGCATGAACAGTCAGTGAGTGGCTGTTGACCCAGCGTGAGTATGTGCAGAGTTCCCTCAAAGTTGGCCCTATCCTGGAAGCCAAGCTCCGTCGTGTTCATAGTAATGCATTTGTCGTGGTTGAGCTATGGAACCAGCTCCCAGGCCTATCAGCAGTAGGTGTTCTTTGTCTGCAGTAGGATAGTATACTACAAAGCTGAGAGAAGAACCCAGACACAAAAGATGACATGATTGTTTTGTATAAAATTATACAGCACAATGAACCACTGTGCAGCTTTAGAAGTCAGGCCAGTGGCAGTTTCATTCAGGGTGAGTGGTGCCTTGGAGGGGCTCTAGGGCCTGGGTGCTGGTTGCACAGGTGAACTTACCTGGAGAAAATCCATTGACCATGCTTATTTGGGTGCTGTCCCATCTGTATGCTATGCTGGAACAGAAAGTTGTTGTGTTTTCTTTTGAGCTGTGAAGAGATGACCGAGAGTGAGAATGAGAGATTGTAAGGGCCAAGAGTTGTGGGGCCGTTTTCCTGGACATTCCTGAGAGTGATTCTTGAAGTTGAGGAATTGCCACTAGATGTGGGGAGAGAAGGGGTGATGCTCAGAGGGTAGCAAAGCTCCTGCAGCTTTGGTCTGTGGGGGATAGGAAGGAGCACTTAAAAGGAGAGGAGGTAGGTGGGAACCAGTCAGAGACAAGGGGGCCACCATGTCAGGTGCTTGAGGGGCGCCCCTCTGGAACTGGAGCCACAAGCCTCCAGGGTTGTGATGTGGAAGGGATAGGAAGGGGGCAGCTGGATTTGCCTGGAGGGGTTTTCAGAGGGGGAATGCTTTGAGGGAAGCCTAGGAACAGAAATGCTTGGGCAGACAGAGGCTTAGGAATCAGTCTTGGAGGGAGGGAGGAGACAGGAGATAGAAGGGACAGAGCACGTAGGAAAGGGACGCAGAGCAAAAAGAAGCTGGTCAGACAGGTCTTTTGCATTGTCAGCGGGGCCGGGAGGCTTGGAATCGGGGCATCCTTTCTGTTCTAATTGAGGGATGACCATAAAGTCCAGCCAACTGCGGTCACTTCCCGAGCATGTAAACACCCAACAGCCTTGGAGCTCTCAGGGCAAATGCTAACCATCACCTGTTACTTTGCACCCTTGGGTATAATCCACCGCACAGAGCTGCGTCTCAGCACTCTTATTGTGCAGCTCTAGAGTTACCTCACCTCTTCCAAGCCTCAGCTTCCTTGGATATTAAGCAGATGGATTTTATACCAACTGCATAAAGTTGTTTCAAGAAATTACTGAGATAGTGTGCATAAAATGCCTAGCACTTTAATCAGTATTCTGTAACTATTAGAGTTATGATTTCTCTTCCTTCTGGCCCTCTAGTGTGATATTAAAAAAAAAAAAACCACAAAACAAAAACAAAAAAATGTATCAGAACTGCTGGATAAGGGATTGAGAGAAGTCGGACTCAATCCTAAAAAGGACTTGGGAGCCTGTAGCAGGGAGCTCTCCTCCTGCAGTAACACTTCCGGAACATGTTGGTCACAGGGATCTGGTACAACCCACCTTATGTTGTGTAAAGGCAGAAACAGGAGGCAGAGGAGCCCTCAGCACTGTGGCACCATTCCCAAGCCCTGTTCTCACCCCTGCAGGAGGAGCCAGCATCCACGCAGGGCAGACATGCACCCGGCACAGAGCCTTTCTGCTTAACAGCCATTGGAGGCCCACTCAGGGATGCTGGCTGAAGCCAAAAGACCGTTTGCAGGATCTGAAAGGAGGACAGTTGCTTTAGTAGCCAGGGAGCAGATGAAATGCATGGATGGCCAGCTTATGAATGGACAGTGGGAAATGCACAATAGGCCGCACACTGCTGAGACGCAGGGAGTCAGGGCTTGGAGGAGCACCTCTCACTGCTGTTGCAGAGAACCAGAGGGAAGTCTGCAGCTGGACTCTGCAGCCTTGGTCGCAGAGGTCTCTCTAGAAGTGCTCAGGGTTTTACTCCATGTGGGCAATCTGGATCTCACATCGAAAATCAATGCTGCCGGAGAGATCTGCTTGTCTTGGGTCTGAGAAGCAAGCAGAGTCTTCCCGTACCTCCCTGCTGGACCTTGCAGTCTGCACTGACCCTGTGGTTGGCATTCACCTCTTCTCCATCCTCTGGGCCTGCATACAGCCATTACTTGAACCTTCATGGGAATATTTAAAAACTCCATGAAGTCTTTAGAAGTCTATGACATTGTGTTCGTATCCTCAAGAAAACACTTGTTTCTAAAAGGTCTGGACTTTGCCCATCACACTGAAGAACGAGCCAGCCAGGGTAGCAGATTTGAAGCTGTACAGCACAGTGCTCTACATATTTTGTGACAGTTCTGATTTCAGACCTAGTCTTTGTAAATGTTCCTTATAAACTTCCAGAAGCTAAGAATGCAGAGGTGAAAATTACCAAGTGACATTCAGAATACTTTGTGATCCCAGGGACTCTGGGATTTGTATCTAAGAGATAAGTCAGCATTATGGTATAGCAGATAAAACCAGTGCTTAGCATGCCAGCATCCTATATGGGTGTCAATTCATATCCTGGCTGCTCTACTTCCAATCCAGCTCCCTGCTAATGGCCTAGGGAAAGCAGCAGAAGATGGCCCAAGTGTTTGAGCCCCACATGGAAGACCTGGAAGAAACTCCTGGGGAGTGAACCTGTGGGTGGAAGATCTCTCTTTCTCTGTCTCCCTCCCTCTCTCTCTATAATGCTGACTTTATTTATTTATTTATTTATTTGGACAGGCAGAGTGGACAGAGAGAGAGAGAGAGACAGAAAGGTCTTCCTTTTCTGTTGGTTCACCTCCTAATGGCCGCTGCAGCTGGCGCGCTGCAGCTGGCGCACCGCGCTGATCCGAAGCCAGGAGCCAAGTGCTTCTCCTGGCCTCCCATGCGAGTGCAGGGCCCACTGCCTTCCCAGGCCACAGCAGAGAGCTGGACTGGAAGAGGAGCAATTGGGACAGAATCTGGCGCCCCGACCGGGACTGGAACCCGGTGTGCCAGCGCCACAGGCAGAGGATTAGCCTATTGAGCCACGGCGCCAGCCAATGCTGACTTTCAAATAAATAAATCTTTTTAAGAAGAGAGAGACAATTCAGGACATTTTTTACAATGGGCACGGTTGGAGGACAGATGCTGGGATGAAAGAAGAGGCAGAGGTGAAACAACCCATGGCTCTATCTTTTCAAAAGGAAGATATTTTAACTGCTCTCTTTTAGAAAAATGTGACTTTCAAAATCACTTTACTTTTTTTTTAAAGATTTATTTATTTATTGAAAGGCAGAAAGACAGGGAGGCACAGAGGAGAGAGAGAGGTCTTCCATCTGCTGGTTCACTCTCCAAATGCTTCAACAGCCGAGGCTGGGTCAGGCCCAAGCCAGGAGCCAGGATCTCCATCCCTGTCATCCACTGCCTCTCAGGCGCATTAGCAAGAAGGTGGGTTGGAAGCAGAGCATCAGATGTACTCTGATATGGGACGGAGGCATCCAAAGCAGTGGCTCAACCTATCAAAATGCCATTCTCATCAAAATCACATAGCCTTCTGTGTCTTTAGATTAACCTCTGTGATTTATAATATGGGTGAGAGTGCTGGAGCACAAATTGAAATCCCTCCCACCATGCACCTTGGTTAGAGGGATGTGTCTGTCTCATGAGGTCAAACCTGGGACTGTGCTTGATGCTCCTGTGGGACACACGGGCCCCCAGCGAGTTGAGCCAGTAGGCCTCACAGGGTATATTTACCAGAACAACTTTATTTTTGTCTCCTCCAAACTTGCTCAGTGGGGGTAGTTTTTTTCTTGCTCCTGGGTAAAAATGCAGGCATTTCACTAGCATGTAATAAAAAGTCCCACAGCTGTTGCAAGTCACAAGCATGGTCTTAATTCAGAATTGCAAGTGTCAGTCCTAAGGAAGCGTTGGTGTGCTTTTTGAGACTTCCCTCCCCTGGGAGGGCTGGCCATGAGGACCTCACCCTCCCTTCCTCTGTTCCTCTCTGGTATTTCTGTATTTCTCCTTCTCCCCCAGCCTGTTAACAGGTCGCTGGGTGGGAAGTGGGGATGGAGAATAACTTCAAAACTTGCTTTCTGTTGGGTGAACACTTGTCCGAGTTCTCCTAATGGAGTCCGTGCCCTTCCTTGGATCATCTGTTCTTCCCTCCACTGCAGCTTCTGCCTCTGGTGTGCAGAGGGGTCCTTCAGCCCCAGCATCCTGACCCTGTGGGTGGGGTCCTTCAGCCCATCTCCCTCCACCCTGCTGGCTGACTTTACTTTTGCAGTGCTCACACTGGGGTGAAGGGTTGCCTTTCTTGCTTGGTCCCCCAGCTTCAGGGTGCACATTTGGGCCCTTTAAGTGATCCCACTGGGGTCTGAGTTAGCTTGGGCTTCAGGATGGGGTTGGAAGACAGGAGACTTCCTCATATTTTGATGTCTGATGTATTGGGGTAGCTCTTGTAGTCCTTTCCAAACAAATCCTCTTTGCAATCAATCTCTTTGTCATCAAGGCAAATTCACATAACATAAAATTAATCATTTTAAAGTGAGCAATTTAGTGACATTAAGTACAGTACATTCTTTTTAAAAAAATTTTTATTTAAGTTATACAAGTTTCATATGTTTTATATATACAGATTTAGGAACAGAGTGGCACTTCCCACCCTACCCACGCTCCAGCCCTTCCGGTATACTGTCTTAATCTCTATTCAGCTCTTTTATTTCCCTTCTGGACGAGCATCGCAAAGTCAACGTATTGGTTTCTGTGCTATTTCCTGAGCAAATTCTGCTGCAGCGGCCCCTTGCTGTTGGAGTTTCACAGCTGTTTTAGCCACTATCTCCCTTGGAAGCTTCTAATTTCAAACCTTTGCTGCCTCTGTGGAAACTTTCCATACATTTTGTACACAGATTTTTATCCTTTAGGCCTTTTAGCAGCCTAGTGGGGCTGAGCATTGTTGTCCCTATTTTTAAGGTGAGGTAACAGGAGAAATGGCTGGCCAACGTTTTGCCAGCAGTGAGTGGCAAGGCTTGGATTTAAACCCTGCCAGGTTTGCCCAGCGGCAACATCAGGGCGTGTCTATCCCCAACGTGAATGGTGCCCTTGATGGCCTCCCTCCCCAGCCTGCCGGCCAGCCTCTAAATCTCTGGATCATCCTAGCAGCCCGTGGCTTCCTGAAGTGCCCCAAGGAGCAGGCCTCTTGAGCAGTGTTGAAAGTTCTGTTGAGACATCCCTGTCCCATCTCTGCTAATGAGCAGGAAGGAGGGGCTACCCCAGCCCCTTGGGTCTCCAGCCTGGCCTAGCCTGGTGCTTTGCCAGAAGTCCACTGCCTGCAGATCAGGCCTTGAATTCAACATTTAGTTCTGGGTGTAAGTGAGGGGAGTGAGGGAGGCAGGTGAGCATGAGGCACAGGACGCAAGCAGGTGACACTTCAGGCCCTAAAGCACTGCACCTGTGCAGCAGATCACCTGCCTCTTATCCCAAGCTGCTGGGGGCCTCCTGGTGGGCTTTGAGTGTCCACAGGATAGAGATCCCTGAAGCTGCATCCACCTGCCCAGAACTCTGAGGGTGACGAGGACAAAGGCCAGGGGCTTGGCAGTGCAGCCTGCGTGTCTGGAACTGCTGGCTTGTGCTGTTTCTTGGGGAGTGACCCTTAAGATCCCAACTAACTAATCTTCTTGTTTTTCCCCCAGGGAACCCAAAAGGTGCGATGCTCACCCATGGGAACGTGGTGGCTGATTTCTCTGGCTTTCTGAAAGTGACAGAGGTGAATAAAGTCAACTGACCAGTTGCAGGTGTCTCCAGGGGAGACCCTCAAGCCTCAGGGGGCATTTTCTTTGTTTTTTTGTGTTTGTTTTTCTGATATAATCTGGGCAGTCATTCACAGGCTGGAGTTTCTGTTCTTATGAAAGCAGCCCCACTTTTATAGCCATTTTTATCCCAAACACTAAAATGATCCCTATCTGATAATGTGCTAAGACCTAAGACCCCAGCAAGAAAAGCATGTAAACCCATTTTTTTTTTCCATTTTTGACTTGGAAAATTGTGGTTTTGTTGTGTACTCTTTACTTAGAAAGTAATCCTTATTACCTCATTTTTCAAGTCAGCCAGGGTTTAATTCATTCATTTTGTGTTTAAGGACTACTAGGGTCTGAGAAACAACGGCAACTGGTAATTTATAAGGCTGTCCTTAAAGGTAAATCTAAAGTCAAAAAAGCTTGATCTCTTGGCCTGACAAAAGCATGTTAGTGTTTTATAACCAGCTAAGAAAGGAGGGCCTTTCCCACACGTGAGTATTTCCTGCGGTTTCCCTCGGGAAGGAATGAACCTCCTCAGGAGAGCGGGGCTTTTCCTACACCCTGGAGAGGCTCTCTCACCCTCCTGCCCCATGGCCTGTGGAGTGCGTGCCCCCACGTTAAGTTTCTTGGCAGCAACCTGTGGGGAATGATTGGTGGCTGAGCCAAGGTTAAGAGCCCTGGGCCAGGCTCCCAGGGTTCATCCAGACTGGTCCAGAACCAGTCCAGGAGAGTGAAGTCCTCTGCAAAAGGGTGGCCACGGGGAAGTCCAGCCCAGGGAGAGCCCCCAAAGGTGCAGGGCCCTGCCAGGCAGGAGGAGCCCCTGAGGTATGGGCCGGGCCCTCCCTGTGCTAATGGAACACAGGGGACCCCTGCTCTGCTTTCCCCTCTAAGGTCCTGGTTGTAGACGGTGACCTGGGAAGCCAGGTTCAACCATCTTTCTTTTCTTTTTATTTATTTTTTTAATATTTATTTATTTCCTCAAAAGGCAGAATTTAAAGAGAGAGGGAGAGAGAGAGAGAGAGAGCAAACGCTCACATTCGCTGGTTCACTCCCCAAGTGGCCCCAACAGCTGGAGCTGGGCTGATCCTGGAGCTTCTTCTAGGTCTTCCACATGGGTGTCAGGGGCCTGAGGACTTGGGCCATCCTCTGCTGCTTTCCCAGGCGCATTAGCAGGTGCTAGTTTGGAAGGGGAGCAGCACCCGTATGGGTTGCCGGCATGGCAGGCGGCAGCCTTTCCCACGACGTCACGATGCTGGCCTCTCATCTATCTTTTTAGAGCTTGGCCTTGTATCCTTTTTCCAGGGCTTGTACACCAGCTGCATCTGACATAGACTTAAGGTCTCTGAGCCCCTTTCCCTGGAAGAAGGACTAGAAAGTGCTCACAAACCAAGGCTCCCTGAATCCCCAGTGGCCAGGGAGACTGGAGCGATAGGGTCTAGAGCAGACCCTGCAGTGGTGGGGAGGAAGAGAGAGCAGGGCGGGCATCAGTGACTGCAGGTGAGGTGCAGGTCCTCTCGACAGACTTCCTGCAGAGCTGGCTCTGCTGGTTTATGTGTGCTTCATTTGGCTCTTTGCTTCTGCAGATAACCTAGACCCACTGGCACTGCGACCTAACACTCCGCTTCCTATGCTGCCCTGTCTCTCTCTCGGTCTCTTCTTTCTGTACCTTTCCTCCCTCCCTCTCCCTCTCCCAACCTCTCCCTTCTTCCCTTTCTCCTCCTCTCCTCTTCTCTCCTCTCATGTCCTCTCTCTTCTTTCGCATCTCTCCTTTTCTTTTTGATCTCTCTCTCTCTCTCTCTCTCTCTCTCCTTGCCCCCATTCCCCTCTCCCCTCTTCCCATCTGCCCCTTCAGGACCGTTTTCTCTTTATTGTTTTATGACTCTCTCGTTGTCTTCCTGTCAGTGTTTCTTTCCTTTCTGTCTCCCATGCCCGTCACCTGCAGAAAGTGATCTTTCCGAGACAGGACGATGTGCTCATCTCCTTCCTGCCTCTGGCTCACATGTTTGAGAGAGTGATCCAGGTAAGCCGCCCACCTGGCTGACTGGGACTTGCCTGGGCTCCCTGTGTTTTCTTACAGAGTCAGTGGGCTCCCACTTGTGCGGATGTGCACTTTTCCTATTTGCCTTTAGCACACATGTTTGAGCGAATGGTGCAGGTAAGGCCCTGGCATCAGGGAGGCACAGTCTGTGCCTAGAACCCGTAACCCTAGCTTGGTGTCACCTGTCATGGGTGGCCTGAAGTAGGTCTAAACTGCCTGTCCTCAAAAGGTAATGCAGAGGGGTCAGAGGACCTTGGCCACCCCAGCTAACAGCAGGTGCTCAGAGCCCAGTGCAGCCTTACAGAAGTGCTTTGCTGTCAAGCTTGGGACAGGACAGCTCCATTCATGGCTAAAGCACTTCTTTTCCTTTCCTTTCATAACTCACCAGCTCCTAACCAAGAAAGCAAAGCAGTCAAGTGGAGGAGTCCAACTGTCATGGTTCCTCGGCCATCGAGGGGGCTGGTGTTACATGGAGCCTGAAACAGGCCTTGTGTCAGGGTACAAAGAGAGTTGGATGAGAATCCATGTACAACTGTGGGGACAGAGAATTCTCCATGCTTGTGTCACTTGAGGAGCTAGCCTATGAATAAGCTGTGGCTGTAAGCCTTTCCCATTTTGCCTTGAGGAGAGATCCACTTCACAGACCTGGAATGGAGGGTCAGCAGTGCCCCTAAACTAGTTTTGTGACCCTGGGCAAGTCATTTTACTTCCCTCAGCTTTGCATTCCTTGCCTGTAAAATAGGATGAGGAATCCCACCTCCCTTATAGGATTGCTAGGAGCATTAAAGAAAGGAGCACATATACAGTCCCTAATGTGACCCTAGTCTCATTAGGAAGCCTTGGCTTCCCACAGACCTGCCTACAGGCAGCTGTAGTAGTATCTCCAGTGCCTATGTGGATGGCACACCCAGAGTTGGTGAACTGTCCCTGGGGAAGCCCTTGGACTCCCTAAGACCCAGAGTGATATGTTAAGAGGATACAATTTGTGTCAGAGACTGTGTCACCAGGGTGGCCCATGCCCAGGGCCTGGGAATGAGTGGGGGCAGGTGTCAGTGAAAATGGCCACTGTGGTATCTCCCTAGGGCTCAGGACTCCACCCTGTCTCCCGTATCATCTCCCTAAGTAGGACATCCTGGGAAGATGGGGACCATGGTCGCCTCTGATAGCTGCCTTCTGTGTCTCATGGCAGCAGCCGACACTGGGTCAGGGGCCTGGGATGCCCTCCACGTAGGCTAGAACTTTAGATAGCTCTGGACTGTAGCTGGCAGCGACTGCCCTAAGGGACTCCTGTCCTGTCTTCTCCCTCTAGTCTGTTGTCTACTGCCATGGAGGGCGTGTCGGCTTCTTCCAGGGAGATATCCGCCTCCTCTCGGATGACATGAAGGCTCTCTGCCCCACCATCTTCCCAGTAGTGCCACGACTGCTGAACCGGATGTACGACAAGGTGAGCCCTGCAGTTCTCTGGCCAGGCTGAGGGACTGCCTAGCTGCTGTGGTTTCTGCTTGCCTCTCCCTCACCTCCAGGAAGTTACTTCCTCTCTTGTATCCCCCGACTCTTTCTCCTGCTCCCTTCTCTCATTTCTTCCTACTTTTCAAAACACTGATTAGGGAGATTGTCTTTCAGGAATGTCCATCTGCATATAACACGCCTGGACCTTGGCACTGTTAACTTTGGGCCCGCTGTCCCCTGCTTGGGGACCTCCTGCAGGGGCATGGTGGAGTGTGGTTTTTCTGAAAGACAGGCTGGGCCTTCTTCCAGGGATGGGGTGGCTGAGGGGGTGCGTTGAGGTCAGGCCCTGGGGCTGACAATATCTCCACCTGTCTCGCTCAGATCTTCAGCCAGGCGGACGGCCCGATAAAGCGCTGGCTCCTGGAGTTTGCAGCCAAGCGCAAGCAGGCTGAGGTCCGGAGTGGGATCGTCAGGAATGACAGTATCTGGGATGAGCTCTTCTTTAAAAAGATCCAGGTAGGAAAATGAACAAGTGATCCCAGAGGGACACCTGTGTCCAGTGAGTGACCTCTCAGGAGAACCGGAGAGGCTCACCCCCTTGCAGTAATACCCTGTGATCCTTGGTGACATGTTATGTGTGCCAAAGGCAGCTGGTAAAAAGGGCCCTCTGAAAAGGTGCCACAGCTCACTAGGCTAATCCTTCGCCTGCGGCACTGGCATCCCGGGTTCTAGTCCCAGTTGGGGCGCCAGATTCTGTTCCAGTTGCTCCTCTTCCAGTCCAGCTCTCTGCTGTGGCCCAGGAAGGCAGTGGAGGATGGCCCTAGTGGTTGGGCCCTGCACTCGCATGGGAGACCAGGAGGAAGCACCTGGCTCCTGGCTTCAAATCGGCGCAGCACACCAGCCATAGTGGCCATTTGAGGGGGTGAACCAATGGAGGGAAGACCTTTCTCTCTCTCTCTCTCTCTCTCTCTCTCACTGTCTAACTCTGCTTGTCCAAAAAAAAAAAAAGTTCCTTGAGCTCCTCAGGCATCAGGTGGCTTTGGCCTTGTTGGTCAGATCAGTGCTTCAGTTAGACTAAAGGTCCCTTTCACCCCTCCCTGTAACCCTAGCCATGGTGGCTTCCTGGCAGCACCAGGTTCTAGCCAAGTGGCTGTGAATCTTCTTTTCTACGCCATTTTTCTATCCCTTCAACCTCTTGAGAACCAGGTTGATCATGAATTACTCATGTCTGTGTTTCCACTAAAGTTTTCAAGCTCCTCATGACCCACAGAATCTGTAGTTAATTGATGGCATTATTCATTTTTTCTTCTTGCTCCTCTATTTTTAGCTATGAAAATTAATATTTAAACTCTCTTGGCTCAACTTACAGAAACAAAGTGTTTCAAATGTTCTTTGTGCTCTGCACAGCATAGTAAATAAAGGATGGTATTGATTTGTTTACAAAATAAGACAATAGTGTTAAAATGGAAGTTGGAAGAAATTGTCCTAAGTAATTGCTTTGGGTGCTTGTGAATGATGGGAGAGTGAAGCAGTAGCTGTTTATTTCAAGGAAGCAAGAACCCTTTTGTCTGAATGTCAAACAGATGAATGGTACTTTTCTTGAAAAAGCTGGTCATTATTATGGAGTGAGTGCCTGAGCAGGTTGGGTTTATCATTTGGAAGAGGAAGAAATTTCCTGAGCTCCTGTGTCCTCTCTGATCCAGTTAGGGCCCAGTTGATGAGGGTTGACCTTGGATGGGACCAGAATGGACTGGATGCCATCTCAGGCCTCATACTTAGGCAAGTGCCTCTCTCTCCCCACAGGCCAGCCTTGGTGGGTGTGTGCGGATGATTGTTACTGGAGCAGCCCCCGCGTCGCCAACAGTCCTGGGATTCCTCCGGGCCGCTCTGGGCTGCCAGGTATTGACACTGTGTGACCTTCCCTGGGAGCAGTGGGGATGTGTTAGGGCAGGGAAATTATTACACCGTCTCATGTACAGAGAAAGATTCTGGGGGCAAGATTTCTGTGGGATATAAGCTCCCTCCTGTGAGGGAAAGCCAGTGAAAGCCAGGGTGTCCTTGCCACATTCTGGAGAGCCTGGGTGTGTCCACTCTGGGAAATCACTTTACCTTGGCCCTGGCAAATCTTCAGCAGAGGCTAAAGGGGTCAGATAACCTATATATGGGTCATCAGTGTTCTGGAAAACCCCTGCTACACCTGTTTACCAGCCTGCAGAATTCAAGTCTTTCCTCTCCCAACCCATAAAAGGAGCACAAGGGAGGAAGTGAAAGCTCTTTTGTTTGTTGTTACTTGGTTCAGTAAGTTTTGACATCTCTCAGAGACTCATTCCTTCGTTTATCCATTCAGCTGACACTTATTAATTTCCTGCCTATGCCACATATTGGAACATGGTTGTGGGGTTTGGATTTTAAGTAAGATAGGCATATATGTTTCATGACTGTGCATACTTAAATTTTTATGCTTTATGAGCCACTGAATTTCTTACACTGTCTTCCTGTCCCACACCAACATGGCCCAACTGATTTTCGGGAGTGTGGGAGGGGGGAATTTCTTAACAGAGACAAAAGTAAAGCATGGAGTGGATTTTTAAGTGTTTACATTTAATACTATCATCCAAATGAAATATAAAGTTATTGGTCAGATACCTTTACCCAGACTACACGATTTTATCTACTAAGTGTCTGTGGTAAAAAACAAACAAACAAACAAACAAACAAAAAAACTTCCCAGCAAATGTGGCAGTGCTTGTTGTCTGTGTTCAGCTTCATCTGAAGTCACCAAACCCCGAGGCACCTCCCCTCTCACCAGTGGCTCCATGGGAAGATAACTGGCTGGAAAGGGTAGCTGCTCAGCTAAGGGAGGGGTATCCACTGTGTGGTTTCCCATGTTTTGTTTGAAGGTTTATGAAGGTTACGGCCAAACTGAGTGCACAGCTGGATGCACCTTCACCACACCTGGGGACTGGACCTCAGGTAGGATGGGCTGGAGATGTGGGAGTGGTTCACAGGTCACTGCCAGGTAAAAGCAGCAGGCTTAAAGCTCCCTTGTGGAAAGTAAATCTGCATGAACAGCAAAAGAAACAGAAGAAAAACATCAGTGGTGGTTATGTCTGGGTTGTGACATTATGGATCTATTGTTTTCTTTGTTGCTTTTGTGAGTGTTTCCCTGCTTCTTTTATAGATGAACAGAAGTATTTTTAAAAATAAAGCAAGAGGGCCGTGGCCACAGCACACTAGGCTAATCCTCCGCCTTACGGCGCCGGCACACGGGGTTCTAGTCCCAATCGGGGTGCCGGATTCTGTCCCGGTTGCCCCTCTTCCAGGCCAGCTCTCTGCTGTGGCCAGGGAGTTCAGTGGAGGATGGCCCAAGTACTTGGGCCCTGCACCCCATGGGAGACCAGGATAAGTACCTGGCTCCTGCCACTGGATCAGCACGGTGCGCCGGCCATGGCGGCCATTGGAGGGTGAACCAACGGCAAAGGAAGACCTTTCTCTCTGTCTCTCTCTCTCACTGTCCACTCTGCCTGTCAAAAAAAAAAAAAAAAAATTAAAGCAAGAGAGAGAGAGAGAAACAATAGGTCACAAGAGTCAACTCCAGCTGTAAAAATGCCTATTTCAGAACATTGGATTTTGTAGATTTTAGATGCCAGAGTTTTGCTGCCAGTCACTTTAGAATTAAGGAAGCAGACTGTGAATTGGATGTGACATATAAGGGAGAACGAGGTTCATAGTGGCCTGAGCACTGTTTCTTAAAGTGTCATTTCAGAAGCCCTCTGGGAACTAGGACCTCTTGGGATATTAGTGTTGAGGAAGCAGTGGGAACCTCAGGAAGGAGCAGCTCCCATCGACACCCTCATTCTGAGAAGATGCGTCTTTCAGGGCAAGAGGGAGGCAAGTTTGTTATAGGCAGCCTGTGCATTGCTCGTCACCAAATTTATACCAGAGACAGGGAGAATCTAAAAACCAGACCACTCTGTGAAAGCCTGCAGGATCCCAGCTTTTCCATTGAGCCTGGGGCCACTCTTTATGCTCATGTTTGTTCAACTCTAAACTGGAAAAATTGGGATAAGCTACATTCTAAAGAAATACACTGCTTAGTGCGGTGCTGCTTTCAGAGTACCTTGAGACAGCATAAACATGGTAGGTACATTCTCAACTGAAATCAATTTGGCCAAGGATTGAAACTCTTTTCTGAGTTCTCTCTCTTTATACTCTAGCTGAAAGAGCCTATTTTGTATAAAGGAGAGAATTTCAAAAAGTTGATAGAAAATGGAATGAAAAGATAAGTTCGTACAAAAAATTTGAAATCTATAAATTTTTTTTGTAATATGCGTTTTCCTATGAGCTTTTTGAGGACCCATAATAAATTATTCTATCACTTGCCAGTACCAAACTCCAGGTAACATCTCTGCAAGTCATCACTCCCTAATGTTTACCTTATCACTACTGTCATATTGACCAATAATTCTTGTGTATCCCCTTCCATTTGGATACTGTTTTGCTTCCCTCAGATGTCACCTTCTATGTTTTCCTATGTAAACTATTGAGGTTTTGCCTTTTTTACTCTTCTTTACCATGGATCCTTGCAAATGATACTGGGTATGCAAGGACAGATAACTCTTTATATCATTGTAAAGGGTTTGGCCACTTCTGTTTTAAGAGAGTGACAAAAATGTCCCAGTCTTATTGTTTATATATACCTGGCTCACTTTTCTTCAGGACCTTGGCCAGCACCTACTTAAAAAAACAGCCAAGTTGCCAGTGAATTATGTAATAACCACAATGACTAGAGAGAATGCCTTAGATGTAATTTTGTGGTTAGAGTACATAAAACAATTGGGGTTCTGTTTTTGGGGGTCAAGTTACCTTGTCTCGCTTTTCTGTTCCTTTGTTACCCAAGTGTAACAGCAAGATCACCTTGGTGCCCATGACAAATGTGGAATCTCATGCCTCGTTCCAGCCCACTAGATCAGAGTCTACAGTCTAACAATTTCCAGAAGATTCCTATGCACATTAACCAGCACTTTGATGACTAGAGGAAAAGCAATAATGTCCATAATTTCCCATGCTGGCCGGGGAAGGGGGGTGGGTATGGGGCCTGGAGCATCTTCAGTGCTGAGGCTGCTGTGACACTGACAGATGTCACCTTGCTTGGTGTCCTAGGGCACGTAGGGGCGCCTCTGCCCTGCAACCACATCAAACTTGTCGACGTTGAGGAACTGAACTACTGGACCTGCAAAGGAGAGGGCGAGGTAAATTTCAGGGTTTAGCCATTCGTGTCTGCGGATGCCACGTGTAGTGAATACAAGCAAGCAAGAAGACAGGGAGTGGAACTCTCTTCCTGTTACCTTGTATGTAAAGTCGTTTTTAAAAATCACTACTCAGTTTGACTCAGCTGAATTCAGCATCTCCTCTCCTGTTTATGAAGCAACCAACCAGCAAGGCTGGGACTCAGTTGATCTAAATCAGGATTTGAGAGTTCCCAAGATTTGAAATTCCATTTTTCCCCCTTAATGTGGCATAGCCTGCTGCTACTCCCAGCAGACGTAAGCCCAGCTGGGATGCTTGCTCATTCCATGGGAGTGAGTGTGAAACTGATGGCCTGAGAGTGCCTGGTGTTCATGCTGGCATGAGCCAACCCTCAGTATCTGTAATGAGACCACATTGAGGATCACAGAGCATCTCGTGGCCAAGGCCAGGGGGCCTCAGGGGAAGAAGGCAGAGTGGGGAGGAAATGGGGAAAGAAAAGTGCCACTTAGAGAAGACGAGAGACAGTGCAGACTGCTGGCAGCTGCTGCCTGTCCTCCATGTCCATCCCCACGGTGTCCCCAGCAGCCTTCCCAGTGGAAGGGAAGTGTTCCCAGCCTACCCTCTGTGGGCCTGTCTGTGTCCCCCTTTGTTGCATCCCTTGTGCCATGGTTAAGAGGGTTAAGAGAAGCTGTGGCCTTTGTCCCCGCAGATATGTGTGAGAGGACCAAATGTATTCAAAGGCTACTTGAAAGATCAGAACAGGACGAAGGAGGCCCTGGATAGTGACGGCTGGCTTCACACTGGAGACATCGGCAAGTGGCTTCCGGTGCGTACACTGGGAACCGTGGAGCTCCAAATGTTTTGGCAGTGGTGGTGGAGGGGGGTGTATCTGGTCTGTCCCACTGAGGCAGGCACCTTCTCTGTGTCTTCCCAGTTTATCACTCAGGAATACCTTTTAACCTTTTTTTTTAAGACTTATTTATTTATTTGAAAGAGTTACAGAAAAAGGAAGAGAGAGATTTTCCATTCACTGGTTCACTCCCCAGACAGCCGTAACGGCCAGGGCTGGTCTAGGCCAAAGCCAGGAGCCGGGAGCTTCATCCAGTCTCCCATGTGGTTGGCAGGGGCCCAAGCACGTGGGCCATCTTCTATGCTTTCCCAAGCCACTAGTAGGGAGCTGGCATGGAAGTGGAATAGCCAGGACACAAACCAATGCCTATGTGGGATGTCGGCGTCATAAGTGGCGGTTAGCTGCTATGCCAGAGCACTGACCCCCACCTTTTGGGGTCGGGAGATTCTTCCGTATCTGGCCCCCAGAGCTTCCCTTCCTAGTGAGAGTGATGAGGAACCTGTTCAGGAGGGGACAGCATAGAGATGGACTCTCTATGCTTAGCAGTTTCCAGAAGGAGAACTGGTCGTGGGTGCGTCCCTCTGGGAATGGTGTGGACTCGGCCCCTAGCTGAGAGGTGGCACCAGGCAAAGGGAAAAGCTTGAAGCTGGGCAGCAGGATGCCCGAGTTCCTTCAGATCTTCCAGGAGCCCTGTAAAAACAGCTTCATCCTTCTCTTGGTGCCTCCTTGGCTCACTTATGGAAGACAGCGAGTCTCTATGGCAACTTTGGCTGTAGCCCCTGACTTTCATCCAAAACAAGTTTGCCTCCTTTTCTTCTTTTTAAGGTGGGGGTAGTAACGTTGTTACCTTCTGTAGTTACTGTGGTGAGGGACACCTGAGGTGATTCCTGCACAGCACGGAGCACAGTGCTTGGCATACTGGAGACGTTGGGTGGCTGCTTTGGGCAGGGAAAGGCTGTGCCCCTGAATCCAAGAGCCCTCGCCTGGTGCAGCCCTCTCTGGGCACACTTGCTCTGCCTCTGGGGAGTTGCTGAGGTCTCAGGTGGACGTTTTGAGGGGCTGACGATTAGCCAGCACACAGGATGTTGAGCCCTTGCAGGGGCCCGTGAGCTGCTGAGCCATTGGCCCTGCTTGGATCTCTGTGTTTGGCCGTGAGAAACCCTTACACTTATGGCAGCCACGTAAGTGTCCTCGGCTTGTGCACTCAGCCAGGGACTCGGCTCAGGGAAGATATATCTTTAGTTCTCAATCCATCATGATAGACATGGCAGGGAGAGCATACTCACCAGAGGTGAGGCCGGGGAGAACAGACAGACAGGCGGGAGGGGAGAGGGAGCAGGACTCTCGGGGCATGGTAATGGCACGTACTGAAGAGAGACCCTAGAGGTGTGAAACAAGCTATACCAAGGGAATATTCCTGCAGATGTCAGGGAGAGTGGCCCGAGAGGCCAGGTGGCCTTGGATACTTACAGAGGTTGGGTTGTCCCATCAGCCCGGGAAGCCCTTCCCTGCCCTGCAGGTCATTTCATATTATTTTTCTCAAAGTGGGCCCTTAAAGCTGGACACCCTGCTGCTAATTCCCATACCTGGAATGAAACCATCCAGCATGCATAGGCTTGTGAGAAGCAAATGAATTAATTCACATAAGCTGGCACAGAGACCAGAGCATACAGCAGGAAGGCATCTGTGGGAGGCAGTTTTTAGCATTATCATTACTCTTAAATCATTGTCAAGGTTTAATGACAATTGTTACTGCAGCCATGAGCTATTTGTCCTTTCTGCATTTCTCATGGAAAGTGAACTGTGCCTTCCTGGCTGTATTAGTCCGCTGTTTATCACTTCAACTGAAACACCTGAGAGGAGCTTCTTGGGAAGGAAGACTTCTTTGAGCTTACAGTCTAGAGGTTACAGTTCAGGACCAGGTGGTTCCATAGTCTGGTGCCCGATGGTGCCGGTCAGGAGGGAGGTGAGCCAGGAAGCGGAGAACAGCTCGACCAAACTTGAACTCAAATAATCAACCCTCTTGTGAGAACCATCCTCTGATGTCACGCCCCCAGTGACCCAAAACCCTTCCCCGAGACCCACCTCTCAGCCGCTGTCATTAGGTCAAGCAGCCACCCTTAATCTATCAACCATTAGCATTGAAGTTTAAACAGCTGCATGAGTTAGGGGGCGGCAGGGCCCACTCCACCCATAACACTAGCATAAAGTCAGCTTAACCATGATTTTTTTTTTTGGGGGGCGGACAGGCAGAGTGGATAGTGACAGAGAGACAGAGAGAAAGGTCTTCCTTTGCCGTTGGTTCACCCTCCAATGGCCGCTGGTGCGCTGCAGCTGGCGCAGCACGCTGATCCGAAGCCAGGAGCCAGGTGCTTCTCCTGGTTTCCCATGGGGTGCAGGGCCCAAGCACTTGGGCCATCCTCCACTGCCTTCCCCGGGCCACAGCAGAGAGCTGGCCTGGAAGAGGGGCAACTGGGAAAGAATCCGGTGCCCCGACCGGGACTAGAACCCGGTGTGCCGACGCCGCTAGGTGGAGGATTAGCCTATTGAGCTGCGGCGCCGGCCGATGTTATTTTTTTAAAAAATTGCTTGTACAAAGTTGTGTTTGGCTTGACATTTATATTCGTAATAAGTTGGTGTCTGGTTTCCATATTATGTACAACTCCATTATGGTGTTGGGGTCATTTCATTGGTTTTTTATTTTTTTTATTTTTTGACAGGCAGAGTGGACAGTGAGAGAGAGAGAGAGAAAGGTCTTCCTTTGCCGTTGGTTCACCCTCCAGCTGCGGCCGGCGCACCGCGCTGATCCGATGGCAGGAGCCAGGTACTTATCCTGGTCTCCCATGGGGTGCAGGGCCCAAGTATTTGGGCCATCCTCCACTGAACTCCCTGGCCACAGCAGAGAGCTGGCCTGGAAGAGGGGCAACTGGGACAGAATCCAGCGCCCCGACCGGGACTAAAACTCGGTGTGCCGGCGCCGCAAGGCAGAGGATTAGCCTAGTGAGCCACGGCGCCAGCCGGGGTCATTTCATTGAATGAATTGTTGAGGTTCTTTTTTTGTCTATGTTCCAGAATAGCATGTATAATATTGAACAGCCCATCTTTAAAAGTTAAGTAGAAATTGTCTACAAAGGCATATGCATATTAATTGTTTTTTGAATAGTGTTGGAGAAATTAAAGAATAGTATGGTCTCCTGATATAGAAAGACTTGCATTCAAATCTTGGTTCCCCTACCTCCTAGCTAACCTCTCTGATTATTGGTTTCCTCATCTGTGAAGTGGAGGTGACAACACCTAGCTTACAGAGTGACATGAGAATGAAAGAAGCTGGTGTTGGGGAAGTGCCTTATGTCCAGCCTGGGTTTTGAGTAAAATAGGGCCTGCTTGCTTTCCTCTTTGAGAGAAATTTCTCTGGCTCTGCTGGGCCCCACAGGTGGAGTGGGGACAGAGTGTAGACAGCATCTGGTGAGGAAGTGGTCCTGCTGGAAGGAGCAGCTGGTGGTGAGGGATTGCTAAGGACCCACGAGCCTGGCAGGCGGCAGCACCGTCTCCGGGCGTGGGGCTGGGGGTCTGGCACATGCTGGAGGAGGGCCATGATGAGTTTGCTCTGAGGTGCGTTGCATCCTGCTGGACAGCCCATCTGGGCTTTGAAGCCTTCTGAGGGTCGTTAGATGCTGGGTTTGAAGCCCAGGGAAGAGGTCTGACTGGAAGCTCAGGCATGGGAGTGGCCAATGAAGAGGGGCAGGAAAGAGCAAGGCACAGGGAGAGCAGAGAGAGGAACTTACCTGATCACTTGGAAACTCAGGACGATTGAGGGGAGTCAGGGAGGTGCACAGGAGCCCTGGAGGGCCAGAGCTCCTGGTGCCACCTGTGCTGTATGTGGGGAGCTGGAGAGACTGTTCTAGGGATGAGGACAGCAGCTGGGATGAGAAAACTCAGTGCGGTCTAGGGGAGTGAATCTGAAGATGCTGTTGAGGACACCTCTGCTCTGAGGGAGGGGTGAGGACACCCTGCCAGGCATGCATGGGAGAGGGTGGCAGAGTGGGACAGGGCTCACTGCAGAGAGGAAGGAGCAGGGGGCACTTAGGGCCCAGCTTGGGTGTCATCAACCCTTGGCGTTGGCGGGCTCTCTCCAGCTGCACAGCAGCTATATAAGATGGGGAAGCAGAAGAGGGCAGAGTCTGCAGAGTGGCGTGGGGCAGGGTTCAGGGTTGGAAGGGCTGCTTTCTTACAGAGCTATTCGTCTAACTCCACAGGAAGGAACTCTTAAAATTATTGACCGGAAAAAGCACATATTTAAACTTGCTCAGGGAGAATATGTTGCACCCGAGAAGATTGAGAACATCTACATCCGAAGTGAGCCTGTGGCACAGGTCTATGTCCATGGGGACAGCTTAAAGGTGAGGCCCTACGCTTCAACCCTCCGCCCATAGTGGGCCTGCTGGGAAATCAGATTGAACACTTCTCTCCAGTCAGACAGTACGAGTGTCCTGTGTGTCTTAAACCTTGGGAGAAATTTCGATTACTTACAGTCTGGTCCAGTAATACATTTCCTGAACATCCCCACTACTTGTAACCTGTGCTCTATCTCCTTCCAAGGAGGTTTCTGAGCTAACATACTAAAGAAAGATTCAATGTTTCTACTGTTTTAATTTTTAAATATGCAAGTTAACTTCACAGGTAAATGTGTGCAGCATTCCAAATGATGGCACCAGTAATAATTCAGCTTATTAGTAATAAATTATTTGGAGGGGTTTATACTTATTTTGTTTTCAGCATCGTTTAGATTTGATGTCAGCAAGATCACGGGCATGCTCTATTACATCAAAGATATCAAATACATTCTACACTATCATTGCACTTAGATAAAATTGACTCCCTTTTTTGAAGAAAATGCTTTAAAAAATAAAGTGGATGTATAGATATCTTCACGAATGAGGATCATGTTGGTGAAACAATTTCAAAATGGTCTGGGAATCCTGAGAAACGTGTTTACCGTAGACTCTGAATCCTAGAGTGCTGCTTCAGCATCTTAAAGATGTGCTGATAAGGTTCCTATAAGCATCAGAGATGCCTGGCACATTAACCTCACTTATTCTTAATGCCCTTGAACATTTTCTTTTTCCCTTAAAATTTAGGGGAATATATCAGAACATGAATAGTCACAAGGATGTGTGATACATTGCTGGAAATGTTTCATAACGTATGAGCAAGTGTTTTGTAAGCAAATATTTATTTTTAGAAAAGGGTGGAGCCTGTGAATACTGGGAGGTTATTTTTAATGCTGGGCCACAAATAGCCACTTGAAAAGCTTTTGTCGTGACCGTGTTTTCCCTTTGGTGGGCGTTGCAGGCCTTTTTGGTGGGCGTTGTTGTGCCTGACCCTGAGGTGATGCCCACTTGGGCCCAGAAGAGGGGGATTGAAGGGACCTATACACAGCTCTGCATAAATAAGGTTGGTATCTTGGGGCTGCTTCCTGAAAGCCTACTGAACGTTTCAGGACAGTGTGTAATGAGATGCAGGCCAGTGAAATTCAAAAACACAGGGAATTTCTGATATAACTTTATACATAGTAGGAATTGTGAGCCAGAGACTTGTCACTTTTGTTGTTGTTGAAGATACCCAGATTTCTTCTTTTAAAAAAAGTTTATTTATTTGAAAGACTGAGTTACAGAGAGAGACAGAGAAACAGAGAGATCTTCCATCCACTGGTTCACTCCCCAAATGACCACAACAGCCAGGGTTGTGCCAGGCCGAAGCCAGGAGCCTAGAGCTTCTTCCAGATCTGCTACGTGGGTGCAGGGGCCCAAGCACTTGTGCCATCCTCTGCTGCTTTCCTCAGTGCATTAGTAGGGAGCTGGATCAGAAGTGGAGCAGTTGGGTCTCAAACCAGCACCCATATAGGATGCTGGCATCACAGGCCATTGCTTAATCCACTACGCCACAGCGCCAGCCCCAAGACCCATGTTTCTTCTTAGAAAGTTTAGTAAGTGGGGCCGGCGCCGCGGCTCACTAGGCTAATCCTCCGCCTAGCGGCGCCGGCACACCGGGTTCTAGTCCCGGTCGGGGCGCCGGATTCTGTCCCGGTTGCCCCTCTTCCAGGCCAGCCCTCTGCTGTGGCCAAGGAGTGCAGTGAAGGATGGCCCAGGTGCTTGGGCGCTGCACCCCATGGGAGACCAGGAAAAGCACCTGGCTCCTGGCTCCTGCCATCGGATCAGCGTGGTGCGCCGGCCGCAGCGCGCCGGCTGCGGTGGCCATTGGAGGGTGAACCAACGGCAAAGGAAGACCTTTCTCTCTGTCTCTCTCACTGTCCACTCTGCCTGTCAAAAAAAAAAAAAAAAGAAAAAAAAAGAAAGAAAGTTTAGTAAGTGATTGGGTTTTAGAACCAGGAGACATCACAGAAAGTTTTTCTACTCCAGGAAAGGAGTTGACTTGCCCAGGGCCACATAGCTGGTTGACAGCAGAGTCACAGTAGACCCAAGTGTTTTGGTGGTTCTGGCCAGGCTCTAGTCCACCAAATGTGCGATGGATTTGGGATCTACTGGCCTGGGAAAGATGGTCATGGACTTGAAAAGTACCACCCATCTTCCTGCTGAGCACTCTATCCCTTCACACCTTCCTGAAGCCTCATGGCCTCACGGGGTCCGCTGGAAGACCATGGCTGTGCGGTGCTTAGACTCAGCCCCTTCTCTGCAGCGGCCGTACATCCCACCTCTCCCACCAGGCCTTGGGCTCAGCTGGGAGCGCCTGGACTCACCAGATTGGCAAAGAACTGCTTAGAAACATTTGAGTCGTCCCTTAGCCCATTCATTCTAACACTGGCCTGGTGAGAGGTGGTGACTGGCACGTTGCCAGGGAGTTCTGGGCTTACTTTGGGGAGCAGGTGTGGGGGATGGGAGCCACAGGGGAGCCCCTGTCAGCAAAAGGCTCATTGTACTTTCCTCAAAGTGTGTTGTTTGCCCTACCTGCATTTTGAAATGTGTGCTTATCTTGTAATTTTCCTCCTGTGGTTCAATTCAGGAACTGAAGAAAGCCATTTTGGAAGATTTGGTGAGGTTAGGAAAAGAAAGTGGACTCCATTCTTTTGAACAGGTAACTGTTACCTTCCCCATACTTGTTACAGCCCTTTAGACAGTGATGAAAGTGAATTGTGCATGCAGTGGCCTCAGCTTACGCCCCTGAGGCCCGTTTGCAGCTGAGCCCCCAGCAGCTTGCCTTCTGAACCAAAATAGGCCATTGGACAAGCAACACGACGCTCCTCGTCCTTGTGCTCACAAATGCGCCTGGGTTGAAATGCTGGCCTCGAGGTCTCCGTAGACCATGTGTTTGTAGTCCATTTCTCAAGCTGCCTGTGGCACTAAAGACCAGGGTCCTGGTTTCTTTTTAATCTTACAGGGCTGCAGGGGACTAGCTTACTTGCTAGGAGGACATGAGAAAGCTTGGGCTCCTTCCTCAGGCCAGGGGTCCATCAGTCCAGAGTGTCCCTTACAGACAGGCAGAGATGTGCTGGGAGGGGACACGGCAGCACTGGGGCTTTGTAATGGAGTTCATGTGCAGGTGCATCCTCATGTACACTGCCCCTGCAGCCTCCACAGCCAGAACTTGGCAGAGGGAAAATTCTTGGAGCAGAAAAACATTAATGTACTGATTTTCCGTTTGTCTTCCTTTTAAAAGAATTGTTCTGGATAAAATAAAAACTTCATTCAAATAATTGTCTTTTACAGAATAAAAACATCATCAAAATAACTGTTCTAAAATTTTTCCCTAAATACAGTGTTAGGGGTCTGTAAGGTTTTTGAGTATTTAATGCTTTTTAAAGGCTTATTTATTTTAAAGGCAGAGTTACAGAGAGAAATAGAGGCAGAGACAGAAAGAGAGATCTTCCATCCACTAGTTCACTCCCCAAATGACCACAATGACTGGAGTTAGGCTGATCCGAAGCTGGGGGCCAGGAACTTCTTCTGGGTCCAAGGATGTGGGCCGTCCTCTGCTGCTTTCCCAAGTGCATTAGCAGGGAGCTGGATTGGGAGTGGAGCAGCTGGGACTCAAACCAGCACCCATATGTGATGCGGGTGCTGCAGGAGACGGCTTTACCCACTATGCCGCAGCACTGGCCTCGAAGATTTTAAATTTTTACATGCTTATTTGATGATAACCTAAGAACATTTAAAAAACCAGTTTTAAATATAAAATGCTTGCAGTGCTTTTATTTGAAATTTAAAAAACATATTTTCACAGATTAAAATTTTAATTTCTGAAGTTTCACATTGAGGAAATCTAAACACCTCAGCTTCTAAGAACACCTCAGGTTTTTCTTTGGAAATGCATCTTTGTATTGATGTAGTTTGAGAAACACTGCTTTTCCCTCATTTGTCAGTACTTTTTAGGACACCTAAGTCCTGGATAAACAGACCTGTATTTTAAAAAATTGTAAAGCCTGAGGTACTTGGACAGATTATATTTATCTTTCTGAATGAAAGTTCTGTTTTGGAGTAATAATTATTTAAATTTCCAGACTTACTAGAACTGACCTCATTTCCCTTCCTTATTGGGGAGTTGTGGAAGTGGATCCAACATGATCTTGTTGTCCAAGAGTGACAAATGAGTGTTCCCAGGCCCATTGGTTCTGGGCTCCCTTTGAAGGGCAAGGCACTGCATAGACCAGGGACAAGCTTGTGCCTGTGCGCATCCTTGTGCGTTCATGGCACCTGCACGCCCCCTGCTGGTGGTGGGATGTATGACCTGCCCCAGGATCCTAACAGATTTCTTTTGGCAAAAAAAAAAAAGAGCTCTTAAAATGATGCTTAAACCAGACCTTTGGTTAAGTTTCCAGTGTCCTCTGCTTAGAGCTTTTCCTGAGAGAAAATGTGTTCTTGACTTTCCACGTGCCTTAAGCAGAGTTTCTGCTCTAATCTGTCCTCACCATGGTGACCTCAAATACAAGGAAGTCATGTGGCATCCCAGAAGCCTTCAGTTTTATTGCCAGAGCTGTCACCTCTTGGTTTTCTCTGCTCCCATTCTGTTTGTTAGTCTGTGGTATCCTCACCCCCATGGCCAGTGTCTGTCCTCAGCTGATCCCAGGCGAGTAAAAACCAGCTCCTGCCTGTGTAGAGTAGGCCCCCAGCTGTGACCCACAGCGCAACATAAATTATTTCAGCTAATCCATAACCCAGTGTCAGCTTGTTCTTTTCCCTCTCCCTTTGAAATACATGGTCATTTAAGGCTTAACCGTAACTAGACATAAACACACAAATAAATAATCCAAACTCAAAATTTAATTCAACAAAAGCTTTAAGGATTCAAACTTACTGAGCTAGGTCAATCTGGATTAAAATTTGAATTAGAAGACAAAATGGATGTATTGTAATATAATTTTGAGAAATATACAATTCCTAGGACTAGGCCAACCATTATTAAATGTATGGAAGTTTTTGGAAGATATAATGAATAGATGGAAAGCATTTATAATAATTATATCAATAATTAAAATAGGTGACTGGGAAATGTATGAGCATATTAAGCAATATTCTTGATATTTATGTTTCACATTATAAAAAAGTTTGTAAAATCAATATGAAGTAAACCAGATAGAGTTTTAAATTTGTTAGCTTTTTAAATTATATGAAAGTCTTTACTAAAAACAATTTATTATATTTACTCTCATTGTAATGAATCCTTACCTAACAAATTTGGCTTTAAATGAAAATGAATTGATCATTCCCCGTGTCCTGTTTTTCCTTATGTTATCTCTTCTGCCCAACTGAATTATTCACTCCGTAATTATTATCTACAAGCAGTATTGTGTTACAGTGTTTCATTGAGTTACATCCTTGAAAAATGAAAATACTATTCTTCAAAATTATAAAGAGTTCATGCTTTTATGAGTTGGTATAAATTAGCACTTTTCAGATATTTTATTCCAGTGTAATATTTAAATGTTACGATAATTATGAATTTGCCAAAAAAATTAAAAAGCCTAAAGAATCTCTTGTCAGTGTTAAGAGTATAGTTTCAGGAAGCTTATTTCTTTGCTTATTAAAAACTAGAAAACCTGTTTCATGGTATGTTTGGCATAAAGAGAGAATAAGGATTCTCATACTTTTTTTAAAAAAAAGCTCACAATAGGACAATTTGGTTTTAAAAGAAATATATGTAATAATTATAGAAAATGCTGAAGTATTTTATTGTTGATTCACTTCTGAAAAAAAAAACTGCTATGGATTTGTGGCCCACAGTTAAGGTCATTGTGAAACAACTGCTTTGACTCATTTTTGTCTACTTCCTGACTAGACTTGTGGCCACTCAAGCAGGACATACAGATATATTCATGGGGAATTTGACAGCCCCGTGGCTGATGGTCAGACTGGAGCAGGGACTGACAGCCTGCTGTGCTGACCTGCTTCCCCAGGGGACCGAAGCGGGAGCCGAGTGCAGGCTGCCTTATTGTGTGGCCTGCAAGGCTCTGGTAGCTGACAGCCTCTTCTGAGGCAGAGCTACCTTACAGACACCAGCAGGAGCTCCAGGCACCCACTAGCCTGTATGTCTGCTACAGGGGTCTGGGCTGACCAGTGTTCAGAATCCACTGTTGAGGCGGCTTTTGCCTCCTCAGTTCGTAATAATTTCTTTTCTGTTCTGTTAACCATCTGGATAGCATTGTGTAACTCTCCCTGCAAAACTCATCTTCCCGGTACTGTATTTTTGTAGCTTCTCCTTGTCACTGCTGCATTTTCAAAGGTGTTCACCCCAAGTTGCTAAACTGAATGGGAACTCTTGTCCCAGCTACACAGTGGTCTCCACATGCTGTTGGGAATGCAGATGAGCAGAAACCCATGCTGTATGGACACTGTAGAAATTAACTTGGCATCTGCATCTGCGTTTAAAAATTATATTGTTAATTTCACTAACAAAAGAAGATAGACAGATGGTTTGCCCTTACATCAGTGGTACTTTTTTTTTTTTAAGTTTATTTTATTTACTTGAAAGGCAGAGTTACAGACAGAGAGGGAAGGACAGAGAGAAAAACAGAACCAAGAGTGGGAGAGACAGAGAGAAAGAGATCTTCTATCTGCTGGCTCACTCCCCCAAATTGCTGGAGCTGGGCCAGGCTGGAGCCCAAGCCCGGAACTCCGCAAGGTCTCCCACATGTGTGGCAGCTATCCAGACGCTGGAGCTGTCTTCTGCTGTTTCCTCCAGGCGCATTGGCAGGGAGCTGCATTAGAAGTGGAGCAGACTGCAGCTTACCTTGCTACGCCACATCTCCGTCCCACAGTGATATTATTTCTATCAGAAGAGAACTTTAAAAAAATAATAACAGCAAAAACAAAGCTAAGAAAATTAGAAGTTTCTCATTTTGATGGCAAACATGAGTGAATACTATGTTAAATCACTGTGTTTATGATTAAATTTGACTTAGATTCTGTTGTTTTCTTCAAGATAATTAATTTTGCCATCAATCAGAGTTCCAAGTACTTAGGCCATTATCTCCTATCTCCCAGGCTCCTTTACAAGAAGCTAGATTGGAAACTGAGTAGCTAGGACTCAAAACTGGACACATCGATTTGAGATACAGGTGTCTCAAGCAGCGGCTTAACCCACTGCGTCACAATAGCAGCCCCTTTCACATTTTTAAATTACAAATATGGGTTTAAAATTCCAGAATTTGTTAGAATTTTTATTAAAACTTTTTGTTCAACAACCATTAGAAGTATGAACTGTTTTAGAGGTCTTATCTGTGAATCAAGTTCTTGATGTGAAAAATCAGTGAATGTAATGTAGAGATTCCTGAGCAAAGAACTGTCATCTCCATATATCCACCCAGCAGGATAATAGGCTGCTAGCATCACAGCTTTTGGAAGCAGTCGTTGACGTACTTAATTTTTGCAGTGATGTACACACATTGGTTTCTGACCATCCAGTTATTTCTGGATTCTGCTCATTGATTTTTATAAACAGTTCTCATGTGACAGTAGCAGTAGCACCTGACAGTCACCTCTCATTCTGCCAATTTTTTTATTTTTATTTATTTTTTTAAAGATTTATTTTATTTATTTGAAAGACAATTTCGGAGAGAGGTAGAGACAGAGAGAGAGGTCTTCCATCCTCTGGTTCACTCCCCAGATGGCCACAACAGCCGGAGCTGCCTCGATAGGAAGCCAGGAGCCAGGAACTTCTTCCATGTCTCCCATGCGGGCGCAGGGGCCCAAGGACTTGGGACATCTTCCACTGCTTTCCCAGGCCACAGCAGAGAACTGGATCGGAAGAGGAACAGCCGGGACTAGAACCGGCCATATGGGATGCCAGTGCTTCAGGCCAGGGCTTTAGCCCGCAGCACCACAGTGCCTGCCCCTTATTTTTATTTTCTAAAGATTTTATTTATTTATTTGAGAGGTAGAGTTACAGACAGTGAGAAAGAGAGACAGACAAAAAGTTCTTCCACCTACTGGTTCATTCCTCAAATGGCCGCTACAGCTGGCACTGAGCAGATCTGAAGCCAGGAGCCAGGAGCTTCTTCCAGGTCTCCCATGTGGGTATAGGGACCCAAGGACTTGGGCCATCTTCTGCTTTCCCAGGCCATAGCAGAGAGCTGGCTTGGAAGAGAAGTATCTGGGACATGAACCAACTCCCATATGGGATGCCGACACCACAGGCAGAGGATTAACCTACTGCACCACAGCGCTGGCCCCCGACTTTTTATTTTCCAAGATTTATTTTTTATTTATTTGAAAGGCAGAGTTACAGATAGAGGAGGAGAGACAGAGATCTTCCATCTGCTGGTTCGCTCCCTACATGGCTGCAATGGCTGGGGCTAAGCAAGGCTGAAGGCAGAAGCCCAGAGCTGCTTCTGGATCTCCCACCTCAGTGCAGGGGCCCAAGTACTTGGGGCCATCTTCCGCTGCTTTCCCAGGCACATTAGCAGGGAGCTGGATGGGAAGTGAAGTGGCCAGCCCCTCTGCTGACTTTATAAGGCACATTCTGGTTCCTTTCTACTACACACATGGCTCTTCCTTTGTCTCAAGAACAGGTTGCTCCTCTACCCTCCAAACTAATTTATCCAAGGTCCAAAGACCACTCAGGTGTCTCAGAAGTATTTCACACTCTGGGTGAACGGCCTGATCTTCCCACCTCCCAGAAAGTTCTCTGCTCCTCCTCCAGTCTTGGACATTTTTATAGTGCCCAAGCAGAAACCTAGACCCATAATTATCTAACTTTCCTTACCTCTTACCCACACCAGTTGCTGCGTGCTGTCCTTACTACCCACAAGGTCCGTTTCCATCCCCACAACTGTCTTCATTGCCACAGTCAGTACCCAGTTCTTCTGTTGATTTTCAGGCTTCTACCCATGCTCCTCTTCACTCCCTTCTTAACCAGTAATCCTTCCAAAGAGCCATACGGTTCTTTCTCACTGCATTAAAAACCATTTAAAGATTCACGTCTAAACTCTCTGTAGGCTTATCGATTCTTTATGTCTTAGCCACAGCCTGTGTCTCCAGCCCCATCTCTTTTGTTCCACATGCTTCAGCCTACAGTGTTACTGTCCCACATATGCTTTGGCACTTTTTATTAAAAAGATTTATTTATTTATTTATTTGAAAGGCAGAGCAAGAGAGAGATGGAGGTGGAGGAGAGAGAAAGGGAGATAGAGAGAATCATCTATCCTCTGGTTCATTTCCCAACTGATTACTACGGTTGAGGCTGGGCCACTTTGAATCCAGGAGCCTGGAACTCCATCCAGGTCTCCCACGGGTACAGGGGCCCGAGGACTTGGGCCATCTCCTGCTGCTTTCCCATGTGCATTAGCAGGGAGCTGGATCAGAAGTGGAGCAACTTGGACTCAAATTTGTGTTCCTATAGGATGTCACAAGTGCTGGCTTAACCCACTGTGCCACAATACCAGTCCCACTTTGGCACATCTTACCTTTTCCTGAGCAACCCCCTCTCCTCAGTTCACATAGCAATACCCTTCTCCCTTGCTGTGTTTATCTGTCTAAAGACTACCTAATAGGGGCCGGCACTGTGGCATAGTGGGTAAAGCCGCTGTCTCAGTGCTGGCATCCCATATGGCACCAGTTTGAGTCCTGGCTGCTCCACTTCCTGTCCAGCTCTCTGCTATGGTCTAGGAAAGCAGTAGAAGATGGCCCAAGTCCTTGGGCCCCTGCACCCCTGTGGGAGACATGGAAGAATCTCCTGGCTCCTGCCTTCGGATCGGCATAGCTCTGGCTGTTTTGTGGCCGTTTGGGGAATGAACCAATGAATGAAAGACCTCTCTCTCTGCCTCTGCCTCTCTATAATTCTGCCTTTCAAATAAATAAATAAATATTTTTAAAAAGTAAAAATAAAGACTACTTAACAACTTCAACTCAGGCCACTCTTTTCACTGAGTCCTGCCCAAACCAAAGTTTGGTGGTATATAAAAATGCATTTAGTTCTAACAGGAACCTGACTCAGTGTCTGAAACACATTGGGTTGGATTCCCTGCTCTGCTTGCATAAGAAGTCAAAAGATAGGTGGGTCAAGGTAGGTGCAGGTCTTCAACAACCTAGGCTCCTATGTTTCTGATCCATATTCTCAGTGTGCTGGCTTAGCAGCCCCTTGTCACAACAAGACTGCTGCAGCTTGGGCACTCACTGTCCAAGGAAAGAAAAGGGAGATGAGTGGAGAGAGCTGTGTTTGGGTCTTCTGTTAGGAAAGCAAAAACTTCCCCTTCTCCCTAACCAGAAATGGATCTCATGGCAAACCCACAGCTGCGGGGAGGGGGCAGTGATGGGGGCAGGGTTGTCATGATTGATGTGGACCATTTGGCTCTAAACCAAATTAGGGTCCTGTTAGCATGCAAGTAGGAAGTGGGTGATGGGTAAGTAACTGCCTGCCTGCCACAGGAAGCACTGTCTCCCCTTGTCTCTGTAGCCATCATACCACAGCATCTCTCATTTGCCTGTAGGTTCTTTGTGGGCAGGTTCCTCTTTGCATCTCTGCTGCCTACCACAGTACTTGACACAGTGGTTGCTCAATAAATATCAGAAGGGGTTGTATATTTGTATTTAATGCATCTGCTTTGGATGCATTTAAAAGTCCCTATTACACTGATTCACAATCCTGCTGTGGTGTATTATCTCAACAAAGTCTTTGAATTTGGTCCTAGTTGTTAGTTCTTATTGGAGATAGTATTACTCCAGGGTTAAGCCCAAGCCCAGACTATGAACTTCTTAGAGAACTGACACTGATCCTTTCTGTTGGAGCCCGGAAGGGGAAGAGCTGTCTGGGCTCTCCCAGGTCACTGTTTTCTTTGGTCCCCATTTAATGTTGCAAAGAGACTTTGTATGAAGTGGCCTCATGCAAATAGGCAATGTGACAAGCGAGTCTCATCCCTCCACGCCCCACCAATAGATTTGATACAATGCGTGGCGGACATTTTTAAAAGCTAGGAGTCAACATTTCCTCCCAAGGCTTTATGGCTCTCTTATGAAAGGCACCACTGTCTCCGAGTAGCCATGGAAAGCAGAATCCTGCAAGTCTGTGAGGCCGTCTCCCTCTCTACTCCATCTTGCCACTTTATCTGCCCGCTGTTCAGAACAGCTTCCCTGCCTTTGTCACTAATCCCTTCCCGCTGTGCTGTGAATTGGCCACATCCTTCAGATGCCTTGCTCTGCTTCATAACTGCTCAGAAACTGTCTTCCCGCCTCTCTTCAGAGTGGTCTTTCCATTTATCCAACCCTAACACCGGCCTGTGTAGGAACCTCCAGAACCTTCCTGCCATCTCCAAAGTAAAACTTGAGGTCCCACCCCCTTAGCTTTGTTCTTGAGGTTGTCTCTGCTGGTAATGGCCTTCTCCTTCTTCCTTTCCCCCTTTGCTGGTTAACTACTACTTATTCTTTTAACACTCACCTGCCAGGATGGGGGGTGATTGCTCCTCCCTCTCCCCTCCCCTGACCGAGCCCGTGCCCTTGCCCTTTGGCCCCACGTGCTAGTGATGGCCTTGTGTCTGTCCAAATGCTCTCCTGGCTTCCGTTGGGCTCTCTGGAGAGCAGGAGCAAAGGATTCCTCTGTGTCCTCAGTGTCTGGCCCAGAGGAAGCACCACTTCATTTCTGTTGGCTGCTAACTGACTGAGTAGAAAGGAAAAAAGGTGACCTTTGGATATGAGATGTGGGCTGAAATGTTCACATATTTTTGACTTAGCATAGTGTCTGTGTGTGAATGAATATATCTACCTTCGTATGCTTGTTTACTTTTATCACGTGTGCTATAAATGCTGTGTTTTATTCTTATTAAAGCTGTGTTCTGCATTTGGTTTTTAGGTTAAAGCCATTCACATCCATTCTGACATGTTCTCAGTTCAAAATGGCCTGCTGACACCAACACTAAAGGCTAAGAGACCCGAGCTGAGGGAGTACTTCAAAAAGCAAATAGAAGAGCTTTACTCAATCTCCGTGTGAAGTTCAAGGAAAGTTCTTCTCAGTATAATGGACTGTGTAGCAATATTATAGTTATTCTTGAAAGGAACACGAAAATGACACAGCTGAAAATGATTAAGAACCTGATTTTATGACTGAGCCTCTACCTGTTCCAAGAGATCTTTAACAATATTTTCTCTATCATCACTGAGTACACTTTATTTTTTATTAAAACGATATTGTAGCAAGCTGCTAAAAATATCACAAATGGCAATGTGTAAATCAAGACATTTTCTCAAGAACTGTGTACCACTAAAAGTAATATATTCTATGTTCACGGAACTCCTATTAAACATAAAGCAAAAACATAACTGATATATTGTACTTAATTATTTGTGGAATAGAAACCAGATACAGCAAATAGCTAGGCAATGTGGACTACCTCATTCAGTCACTGATTGTCAAAATCACAGTTAAATCAAACTTGAGAACTAAAACTAGGCAAACAGAATTATGATAAAATGTGATCAATCATTCTGCAAAACGTCAGTCTTCAAAGATAATTCCTATTGATGTGAATGATTTTTTTCTGATTTTTAGTTTTATTCATGAAAAATGCAAATCCAGATATTCTTAAGGCAAATGTTATATAAGAACTTACGAAGACTTTTCAATGCATTTTGTCATTTATTAACTTCATTAAAAGGCATTCAGGAACTACCTAGAAAAAAAAGTAATGTAAAAGTAGCCAAGGATACCATGCACATGCTCATGGACTTCTAACCATAATGAATTCTAAAAGGTGTCTGTGGACTCGGCAGTGGCTGCACCCTTCTTTGAATGGGAGGACTTGGGAGAAGAAGCTCAGAGTTCTTTCTCAGGGTGGGCAGAGTCAGTGTACCTCTGTTTCTCGCTGGGGCCTTCCTACCTTCCCTTCCCAATATGTCCATGCCAGGCCTGGGAAACCCAGAATGGCTATGATTCTGAACAATTTCATCTTCTTTCATTAAGAGTATCAAGGCAAGATGTGAGGAGGAGGGGATGTTATTTTTCCAAGAAAATAATTTTTTCAACAGTATAATTTTGAAGAATCTCTTCAAAATGGCCCTGGAAAACTATAGATTCGTAATAGAGAAATATCTGCTGATGGCTTAATGCTGTGCTCAAAATCTTTAAATGCTCCTAAATTCAACCACAAAAACCTCCTTTCTTGCACCATGCATTTAGATACACCCTGTACATGGATGCTAATAAATTTATACAATGAAAGCCCTGATATCATTGACAACAACTAATTTGCAAGCTATGAACTGTGCATCTGAAAAAAGCATAGTACCTGGGAAAGTGTTTTTCTTCTGTAGGGACAGGACTGTGAGAGTATATTAACAATTTATATGCAATTTTTGTGTTAATTTAAGATATATGTACTCACTGTTCACAGCCAACTGTACATAAACACTTTTTTAAACACTGCAGTAGCACACGGTTCTGTTGGCTATATCGCATCAGTGAGTACACAGATTTTATTCTTGTCAAAAGTAGACTACAGCTCATTTGATGTACTTAACCTTTTACATACTCCTTGGGTATATTCTCTCTAAAGACCCACTGCTTACACTTACAGATTTGACATTGTAATAAGCGATCTAGTTCTATACACATTAAGTTTTAAAGGCATTTCTGAATAAACAGGTATTTAAAAGGTCCCAGGTCCCATCTGAGTAGCATTAATTTTTTTAGGTTTAATATGTATTTCACTAGTTAAAAGTGAACATCATTGCCTGAATTGGACATTCAGGGGGAAAAGAAAATGCTATTTCCCATTGTCCTTCCCCTTGACTACAATTTCATAGTTGGCTTTGATTCCAAAAGAATTTTGAACAGTAACATAAGCCATTATTTTAAAACTTATTTTTTTGAGTCTGTTTATACCTCATAGTAGTTAGATATGATTGATCATGTGTAACTTAAATTTTTTCTTTTTCTCACTTAAAAGATAATATATTTCCACCAGACTTCCTGATCCAAATGGAAATCATCACATTTGGGCCAAATGAGTGGGTTGGTGCAGATGTGCTGAGAAAAGTGAACAGTGAACCCTAAATATATTATGTCTATTCCTACATTTAACTCCACGTAATTTTGTAATTAAGGAGAAACGAAACAGTATATATCAGTGGAAAAAATCCTTGCTTCAGATTTCCCAGCTTTTTTGGGGGGAGGAAAAAGTTTGTATTTCTAACAAATATAGAAAAAGCTATTTGACATTGGATCTTAATAAATCTAGAGGTTTAACAGAGAATCAGTCCCTTAGTTATAAATATGTTCTTAAATGTTTGACTTTTGTACTCATTTCTCATTCAAATATGTAAATAATTCTCAATTTTATAAACAAATCATTTTGTGTGTATTATAAAATGAATACACACCAAATATTTTTTCCTTTGCCATAAATAGTCTTTATTGTGACCTCCCACTGAAATATATACCACATATTAGTAATTCACAAACTCAAATGTCCAAGGATTAAACATATTGTGTGTCCCTCACATAAGCAAGTCATTCTTTTGTTCTAAATTTTGGTAAGACTACAAGCATGAGAAAAAAAGTAGAACTGTGCATTGAGATTTTTATAATCAGGTAATATTTTGTCAAGTGGAAAACACTTAATTTGACTATATAAATCATCGAAGAACCAATAATCTTTAAATTTTCCATGGTAAAGAAAATGAATTTTTATTTTCCAGATGCATAATAAAGCACAAATGTGATACTATAAAATGAATGTAAAGAATGGGAAAGTGTTTTTGCATGAAAACAGTCTACTTGCCAACTTGCTAAAAATCTCAGGAAAAAAAAGAATGAATGATCACATATAAAGCTGGTAAAGTATGAGTTGGCTATATTTTCTTGCCAATCTTTATTTTCAAGGAACCCTTTACATGAAAAGAAAAAGAATCCTAGTAGCTTGACTTTTCTCTTAACTATGCTACTTGGTCTTTTCTGTGAATCTACAATTAACTGCAGTAAGAATGGGATTAGCATGCAAGTGAGGACTGAACCCCAAATTCAAAACACAAATTAGAACACATTAATGGCTGTAATGCTGAGGCAACAGACAAATACTTGAGATACAAGCATTCCTAAACCTGGTCCCAAACAGAAACAGTGTACATGAAGTAACAGTAGCTTTTAAACATTCATTTGCCTGATTATTTTAATTTTCCTTGTTAAATCACTGCAATGATTGCATGGGGGGAAATGGATATTTTTTTGAAGAACTGCTTATTCTTTCAATTTTTGAAAACTTGAGGGGAGTAAAATATTAATTTTTAAATATGCATAAAGATAACTGTAATTATATTTTCAGTTGCTTTGTTATAATAGCATGCATATCAAATACAGAATGCATTTATGAAAACTTTTGTAAAAAATAAAGATTTTTCATTTCTCAGAGTTGCTTATAATTACTATTTTATACATTTATATAGCATCCTGTGATGTCAGTATGTTTGGTAATCATCAACCGTAGTACTCGCAGCAAACTTGGTGTAGAGCCATTTTGTCGATCTGCATCTCTATCCTGGCCTCTCCGTCTGCTCTGGGGTTCCCCAGACTCCAAAGGGACCCTGCTGAACTCTTGGCCATCACTACATGTGTCTTGGATTTAAATCACTTTAATTCTTTTAATAATTAAGGAAATTCTCCATCATGGTAGCCTTTAAAACAGCATTTCCATAATGTCTTTTAGTCCTATGCAGATTTTTTAGGTACAGTCTGTGAAAATGGTACATTCTTCCATGTCTTAAGTTATGCACATTCTGCCATCATGCATTTGCTGTCCCTCACTCTTCTGCCTCTCAGGTAATAGTGTCATTTGGGGCCACCTTCATCTCTCGTCTGGAGTATTACAGTGCTTTCCTAAGTAGTTTTCATGTCTATACCCAGCTGATTCAAATCGCAACATCCACAACTCAGGGAAATTTTTCTAAATTAAAAATCGAGTCATGCCACTTCCTGTTTAATATTCCTTCAATGGCTCCCCATAGCTTCCAGGATAAAGTTGAGGCTCCCTGGTACAGCACACTCTTCTGCTCTTCCCCAGGGAGCCTTGGCACCAGTGATACCAAATACGTTTGTAGTTGGCTAAAATTATGCTTTTCTGTGTCCTAATGCCTTCACAGTCCCCTTTCCCAGAATACCCTTTCCCTTGACCTGCCTGTCAGACTACTCCATTCATCTCATAAAACTCAGCTTCCAGTGTGTCCTCTGAGAAGCTTCCCGTGTGGTGGATTGGTTGGTGGTCACTCTGTCCTACCCTCCTTAAGACTGAGTTGTTTGAGCTCTAAGCCTTGCTGCAGATTTGGTCCATAGTAGATGCTCAAGAAATATCTGTTGTAAGGAAATGCATTTAGTCCTTTTTTGTATGTTGCATAGCATTAAAATGACAGTATGTGAAAGTACATTCATTCATTGCTATGATTTATCCCGCTTTTATCAACTGAACAACAGCAACCGCTGGTTTTCAGCTGGTTTAAACACAGTTGTTCGGTGGGTTACCCAGAGGAAAATGTAATCCAGAAAGGTTTCCTTTGCATTTCAGGGAGTCCAAAATTCACAAAATGGTTGTTTTCCAAAAAGTTTCCTTCAGAAATCTCTTTGCAATCTGTGATTTGGTTTTCCATAGAAAATGATTATTGGGAACCCAGTCAAACCCATCATATGTTGAACTGAAACCCTGATGGCAGAGTTCTGGGTATAGGTGTGGGAACAGTACAGCAGCCAGGAGATGGAAGAAGTTTGGTTTTATGCACAACACTAAATATGTGCCCTGCTGTTTGTATGTTTGAGGATGGAGTGGGGGAAGACAGATGATTACACTGAGAAGTCTCTGCCCTTCCTCACTGTTTTGTAGGGGCACATTTCCTTCCCCTTTTACAGGCAGACTCAGGGTGAAGTTTAAAACAGCCCGAGTCTGTCTAGTCCCTTCTCCCCTTGCTACCAAGGTTGTTTTTTTTTTTTTTTTTTTTTTTTTAAGATTTATTTATTTACTTGAAAGTCAGAGTTACACATAGAAGGAAAGGCAGAGAGAGAGAGAGAGAGAGGTCTTCCATCTGCTGTTTCACTCCCCAGTTGTGCCGATCTGAGGCCAGGAGCCAGAAGCTTCTTCTAGGTCTCCCATGTGGTTGCAGGGGCCCAAGGACCTGGGACATCCTCCACTGCCTTCCCAGGCCATAGCAGAGAGCTGAATTGGAAGAGGAGCAGATGGGACTTGAACCGGTGCCCATATGAGATGCTGGCACTTCAGGCCAGGGCGTTAACCCACTGTGCCAGCCCTGCTACCAAGGGTTTTAAATGCCTCACCTTGCACCCCTTACCTCTTTCCCAGGCCTGTGCCAGGAGGGATAGGAATGACCAGCACACTAGCCCCATGCTAGAGAGCCATGCCACCTGTGCCAGCTGACCATCTTCATGAGCTTCCCTGGACTGTGGTTTCCTCAACTGCAAAAGGAAGAGGCAACCGGATCATTTCAATTACAGGTTTAATTTATTTATTTGATAGAGTTACAGAGAGGGAGAGAGAGAGACAGAGACAGAGACAGAGACAGAGATCCTCCCCAAGTGGCCAGATGGCCAGGGCTGGGCAAGCCAGAGCCAGGAGCTGCATCCAGGTCTCTGACTTGTGTGTAGGGGCCCAAGCAATTGGGCTACACTCCACTATTTTCCCAGGTGCATTAGTAGGGAGCTGAATTGAAAGTGGAGCAGCCAGGATTCAAACCAGTATGGGATGCCAGCATGGCAGGCGGTGACTTTACCCACTATGCCACAGTGCCAGCCCTGTTTGTTAATTTTTTAAAAAAGATTTATTTATTTATTTGAAAGGAACAGTTAGAGATGAGAGAGGGAGAGAGAAATCTTCCACCCACCAGTTAACCCCCCAAATGGCCATAATGGCCAGAGCTCTGCTGGTCCAAAGTCAGGAGCCAGGTGCTTGTTCTGGGTCTCTCACGTGGGTTCAGTGGCTCAAGAACTTGGACCATCTGCTGCTGCTTTCCCAGGTGCATTAGCAGGGAGCTGGATCAGAAGTGGGGCAGCTGGGGCTCAAACTGGCAACCATATGGGATGCCAGGACCGAAGATGGTGGCTTTATCCACTTTGCCACAGCGCTGGCCCCCATTAGATCATTTTTAAGGATAGTTTTGGCTAAATAAATCATTCCAAGTTTATTTCCAGTTTGGAAGTCCTCTGTATTAACCCCATAAATCTTTACTTGATGACATTTCGGGAATATAGTTCAGTATGTAGTGCGATAGACTTTTAGGGAATAGGACCCCTAGAGCAGGTCAGCTTTTGGTTTAACCTGTTCTCATTTTTTCATTATTTCTTTCACTTCTGGGATTAAGGCATCTCAAGGTCCAGACCTCTCAGAGGTCATTTAAGAACTCCAAGTTTTTTTCAGAACAGCCCCCACAGTGGGAGAGTAAACTGGAGACTGCCAGGCAGCACATTATAAATGTGACTAAAGAAATCTGCAAGTGGAAATAGGAGATTGCCTTAGACAGCAACACCATGAGTTCCTTGGCTGGTTTTTCTGGTTCACCTTTGTTATCTCCAGCATCCACCACAGGGCCAAACACGAGAGTAAGGAGCTCAATAACCATTGACTCTGACTCAGGGTACTAGTATACCTAACCATGGATGAATGCCTACCCTCTGCTCATTACAAAGTCAGACTTTGATGATTATGTATTAAATCATAGTCATGTTTTTATGAGCACATTTTAAGTAAAAAAACTCCATGACATTATTGTGGATGCACACATCCACACACATTATTATCTTTTGAGTTTTTCATAACTGTACAATTTTTAACTGAAATGTTGCCATTTTTTAGAACAAGAGGATGGTTATGTATTGTTCTGTGTGTGCTATGTCTATCAGAAGCATCCAGAATGGTTCAACCTGGGTATGTGGAGAGAAGCGGAGGTCATTTCTGTGTCTCTCCAACTGGTAGACCCAGAGTTGAGTCCCAGGCACTAGGAGGGAAGCCCCTGTGGCATCCTCTGCTTTGACCCCAAGTATACCCCAGATGTGCAGGCTAATGGACTCTGCTTGCACTTGAGGAGACGCCTCCTGAGCCCAGCATCTTCCAAGGCTTGGTTAGGCCCTCAAGTACCATAGCCACCCAGTAATCTGGGGGGCCCAGAGCTGAAGCTGACTCCTCAGGTGGGTACCCTCCTGCATGACCCCCAGTTACACTCCCTCCCTGTGCCCAGAGACTCAAACCACCACCAAGGCCTCCTTCCGCGGTGCTGATGAGGAGAGCCACAGCGGGCAGCATGGATAGCAGAAGCTGGTCCCATCCCAATAATGAGGAAACGAAAAGCAAAGCAGTGACTTTCGGGACTGGGACCTCCAGGCGTGCGTTCAGCAGTCAAGGGTACCTGTGCCCACCTCCCAGTGCCGCCAGGGGGCGCAGTCGCTGCCGCGTTCCTCCGTCTTCCCAGAATCCACCACGGGGGATAAAAAGGCGGGAGCGCGGCCGAGGGCCGTAGTCCCGAAGTTAATGCTTTTCCTCGCGTGGTTCTGGTCAGGCTGCTCCGCCGGCCGCGTCTGGACGCTGACTCTCTCTGACGTAGCTCGTTCCTCAAGGAGGAGACGAGACAGGCTGTCAAGGCCCAGAGGCTTTCAAGGCTTGGGAGTGGAGTGGGGGTGGCAATGTGGCCCCTGCGGGTCTACACGCGCAAGAAGCGGGCAGGCCAGAGGCTCAACGTAACCCCGACGCCGGACCTGGGCGCCCCGGCGAAGACGGAGGCCCCGCCAGGTCCTGGCCCAGGGTTGGCCTGCCGTAAGCCCCGCCGAGCTGCCTTGCGGGGAGGGACCCGAGCAGGGGGCGGGCGGGAGGTCTGGGCCCCTGGCCCCGGGGAGCTCCGAGGCCGGTGGGCGGGCTGACACCTGCCGTCCTCCTCAGGCCGGAAGGGTAAAGGCAAACTGCGCGGTTTGCAGAAGATAGCGGAGAAAGCAGAGGGGAGCCCGCGTGGAGGCAGTGGCGCTGGGCTGCCCAGGTGCGTAGGCGGGGTTCACAGCCCCATGGCCTGGCCTCCTCAGAAAACCCCAAGCCTTTATCTTCTGTTAGCCTCTTGTTCTAACAGTCAGTGAAGAGAATGAGTGACACACCCCCATTTCACGCCTCTCAGCCCCTAGACTAGAGATTGGACTTGTTGCCAAGTTACCTAAAAATCAAGTGCACTAACCCACCCTCCCCCCCAGGACGGTATTCGTGCCAGGATTTGGGTATTGGTGTCGTTCATCCACTCTGGTCCTTTCTTTCTAAAGATGTCCCTGAAGAGACTTTGAGGTCCTGAATAGCATGAACAGAGATGTGCGGAGCCGAGTCCATGTGGTGCGCATTAACTGTGGTGTTTATTTGTTAGCGCTCAGCTAAGAGTTACAGGAGAGCAAAGCCTGCAAGAAGACAGTCCTCGTGAGCAGACACAGGCGGCGAAGACTGCTGCGTTGGGTGTATGTATGTCATTCCTGTGGTTCTTGGTTATTCTTCATAAGGAGACAAGCACTTCACGTGTGAAAGACAGGATTACAGGGTCTTTGTGCAAGAGAAATTACATAGCGTGCTAGTATTTCTATAAGCACTGATAAATGACAGGACTTGAATTTCTGATTCAGGTGGATTTTCCTTTGACAAGTGTTACAGAAATGTAGATTATTAGCTGATTTCCTGGGTGAAAGAAAATATTCCTTAGTAAGGAATTATTTTTGGTACTACTTTAACGTTTTAAAGCCATTTTTATGTTTTCCATTTGATTTTTCTGTTAACTAAAACTATGCTTCATTATGAACCGTTCAGTACATTACAGAGCATTCCAGTCTTCATTCATCGGAATATTATATAACTTCTTGATGTTCTGTATTTAGAATAAGGATTCTGTGAAATTTTTTTTTTGACAGGCAGAGTGCACAGTGAGAGAGAGAGAGAGACAGAGAGAAAGGTCTTCCTTTATCGTTGGTTCACCCTCCAATGGCCGCTGTGGTCGGCGCACCGCGCTGATCCAAAGCCAGAAGCCAGGTGCTTCTCCTGGTCTCCCATGCAGGTGCAGGGCCCAAGCACTTGGGCCATCCTCCACTGCACTCCCTGGCCACAGCAGAGAGCTGGCTTGGAAGAGGGGCAACCGGGACAGGAACCCGGTGTGCCGGCGCTGCAGGCGGAGAATTAGCCTAGTGAGCCGCGGCGCTGGCCTCTGTGAAATACTTTAAAGCTGCACGATAGTAACTTGGGGAGACTCAGATTTTAAAACTTAGGGCTCGTCTGAGGTTAGCAATACAGTTGATAGTCAAGTTCCGGATTTTTAACTTGCACTCCTCAGTAATACGTTTTTGAAGTAGGGCAGTTTCAACACAAAGCACTTTTAAAGAGACGTTTACCCCATGCTTCACAGTGTAAAGTGTTCTTTGTAGATGTCTTATACACTACAAAAAACAAGTAATTAAAAAATTTTTCACATTTTTATATATTTCTTTTTGTTGCCTTTAAAAATGTATTTATCTTTTTTTTTTTTTTTTTTGACAGGCAGAGTGGACAGTGAGAGAGAGAGACAGAGAAAGGTCTTCCTTTGCTGTTGGTTCACCCTCCAATGGCCGCCGCGGCCGGTGCGCTGCGGCCGGCGCACCACGCTGATCCGATGGCAGGAGCCAGGAGCCAGGTGCTTTTCCTGGTCTCCCATGGGGTGCAGGGCCCAAGCACCTGGGCCATCCTCCACTGCACTCCCTGGCCACAGCAGAGAGCTGGCCTGGAAGAGGGGCAACCGGGACAGAATCCGGCGCCCCGACCGGGACTAGAACCTGGTGTGCCGGCGCCGCTAGGCGGAGGATTAGCCTAGTGAGCCGCGGCGCTGGCCCAAAATGTATTTATCTTTTAAAATAATTCAAAAATGTTCTTCTTGTGTATTTTCTTATTGTTATTCTTCAAAAATGCTATTTTTGGTTTTTTTTTAAGATTTATTTTTATTTGAAAGGCAGAGTTATAGAGAGACAGAGAGAGAGACAAAGAGAGAGGTCTTGCATCTGCTGGTTCACTTCCAGGTGGGCCAATCCAAAGCCAAGAGCCAGGAGCTTCTTTTGGGTCTCCCACACAGGTGCAGGGGCCCAAGCATTTGGGCCATTTTCCACTGCTTTCCTGGACCATAGCAGAGAGCTGGATCAGAAGCAGAGCAGCTGGGACTCAAACTGGAACCCACAGGGGATGCCAGCACTGCAGGTGGTGGCTTTACCTGCTTCAGCACAGCACCGGGCACCTCTGGAGTTTTCATAATGTTTTGTCTTATAGATAGACATACTATGTAAAGCTATTCTGAGATTGAGAGTTTCATATTGTTACTCCAGTTTTGCTGTTGTAGATATTGATAGACTTCATGTTATGGAAGGAATTTTTTTGTGTGCATCTGTACCTCAAATTGTTATCCTAAGATAAATATTTTGCAGTGGGTCAAAGGTTGATCAGGTTCACAGTTTTTTGGTTCATGTTGGCAAATTAGCACCATCTCACATGAAACCAGGTACATATATTCATATTTGATAGATGAAAAGTAGCATGTTGTTTTGTTTTTCATTTCTTTGAGGCTAGGGAATTCACTGCTTTTTACCCTCAAGTTATTGGCCATTTGTATTTCTTTTTTATGAAATGCCTATTTATTATATATTGGAGATAACAGTGCATATATTTAATAAATGTTTTTACTTATATTTGTCTTTAATATTATTTTTAGTATTTTAGAAGTAGAAAGCTTTTCTTTTGATTTGTCTGTTTCCCCTTATTTTTGGAGGTAAAATGTTCTTCCTAGGAGATCAGAAGAATATTTTCCCATATATTTTGTATGCTAGTGTATCCCTCAGAAGTTATTTGACTGATGTATTTTTGATTTCCTAGATATAACCATAGTATCATATCTTAGTATTTCTTGTTACATTTAATATTGTCACTTTACATGTGTAATCAATAAACTGAAAAAATCTAATAAGTATGAACTCAATAATCAAAGTGGACATTAACTTTTCATTTTCAAAGTAATCAATGTGATATAAAAATGTTCAATTTCATAATTTGTTCCATATCTTTAATTCTTCCACGTAGGAGTCACTAACTGATGACCTCCAGGTTGACAGTAGTTCATCAAGTAGTGAACTAATGTCAGGTAAGACTGTCAGATGTGAACTCTGTCAGCTTTCTATCTTACATCCATTTGTGTCCGCCCCTGTGTTCCCAACTCGGTGGGTAGGGTGCTCTCCTCTAGTCAACGTGAATGCTCCTGACTGTGGCCTAAGCTTTGTCTTCAAAGCCTTCAGGCACACACCAGAGTGAAATTAGAGTTGTGGTAACTGCTACAAAAGAGATATTAACTTGAATGTAATTTATTTTACTCAGAGTAGGGAAGACTTCCAAGAGGAAGAGGGATTGACAATTGAGATCTGAAGGACTTTGGAAATTAACTATGCAAACAGATAAGTAAAGGAAAATCCAGGCCAAGGGAACAACATTGCAAAGCCCCTGATACGAGACTGAGCACTGTGGTTCTGAGAACTAAAAGATCAGCACGATCAGAGTACAGAGCATGGGAAGAATTGTGATTGTGATACAAGATTGGGCGGCCAGTTGGGTCTTTGCAGCCTTGTAGTTCATGTCAGAGATACTGATGTTTATCTTTGGAGCAGCAGAAAGCCGTTGAAGTCTTTTAAATAAGGAATGATAAGCTCACTTTAGCTGTAGTGTGGACACAAGACTGGAAAGAAGCAGGAATGGAGGCAAGTAGACCAGTTAGGAGATAGTAGTTTAGGGGAGAAAGAATGGCACTTTGTACTAGGAAGCTTACATTAGAAATGGAAAGGAGAAAGCAGATCTCATGGCTGTTTTAGGCAGTGCAGTTGATAGAATTTGGTAAATGAAGAATCAAGGAGCTGAAAAGTATCCAAGATGACTTCTGTCTCTGATTTGCAAAACCGGATACCAGATGGTTTCATTCACTGAAAAAAACATCTTGTTTGAAGGAAAGATCATGAATTCAATTTTTAATATATTAAATGATAAGTGCCTTTAAAAAATCTAAGTAGCATTGTTAGATGGGCAGTTGATGTGGAGGACTAGAAATAGAAATTTGTGAGCCATCCACTGTTGGTATAATTGAAGTCATTTTTGAAAACAAAAAAGGTGCCATCAGCACTCCAGAAATACAGAGGACTCCTTAAAAGCAGATGAGATCAGAGTGATTAAGTGTACTGAGAGCATAGAAAAATCACAACACAGGTAAAAGTAAGTAGCTTTAGAGAGATCCTAAATGCGTGAGCAATAAGTCTAAAGAACTGTGATAGAAGGAGTCTTGAGGACTTGTCAAAGTGGTGGATTAAGAACTACATTTGAAATACCTGGTCCGTTTCTCCTTAAATTGGAAACACTGGCAACTACTAATGCTTGCTGCCTTGGTAAAGCCACTCCCAAACAATGTGGGGGTTGACTACTAAGGGTCATTACTGGGGTAGGATTGAGAAGCAGAGGAAGAATCTCAGGTAACTCCAGATTGTCACAAGGATAGCAAAGGGGGAAAAAAGTCAAAGCTGTCAATTGTTAAGCTGCTTAGCTGCAGGAAGAGCATATAGTATGGCTCTTTTGAAGTGGAGGTTCTGATTCAGGAGACTTTCAGTGGAGTCCCTAGTCACACAGGACATTCCTGTAAGGAACCCACCATACCCAGTAAGTGGAGGACATCACCACCCAGAACACTAGAGTCCAGAATGCCTTTCACTTTTCCAAACTCTAGAGGCACGTTGTTGCTGCAGAATTTATACTCATTTCATGCCGTCATTCTCAAAGAAGGATATGGCTAAGGCAAACGTTTGATCAGCCCAACGTTTGAAGAGAACCAGTGCCACGGAAAAGAGGCAGCAAATGCAAGAAACACAACTAACATCTGAGGAAATGGGAAAAACTTCATCTCTTTAGAAATAAGAAATCATTGACTACATAATAAAACAGTTTGCTGTAAAAAATAGTTATACTCCCTGCAAACTAAAAATAACAAGTTAGGGGCAGGCATTTGGTAGTTGGGAAAGCCACATCCCATATCAGAGTGCCTGGGTTTTCCTCCTGACTCCAGCTTCCTGCTAATGCAGACCCTGAGAGGTAGTAGTAGTGGCTCAAATAATTGGGTTCCTGCCACTCATGTTGGGGACCAGGATTACATAACTGGCTCCCAGTTTTAACCCTAGCCAGGGACCATTGTGGCATCTGAGGAGTGAGCCAGTGATTTCAGCTCTCCCTGTTGTCTCTTTAAATAAAAAAATTTTTTCAAGACTCAATTTTTTTAAAAAAATGAACCTCATAGAATGAATTCAGCTGAACATTGAATTAGTGAGCCAGAAAATAGACTAGAGGAATGTTTTTGAAAATAAACTGCAAAAGAAGTTAGAAGGTGCTCAAGCAATGCTCTTATTCTTTCCTCTCCCTTCTTTGCTTGTTCTTCAAAAAGAAAATCAGAAGCCATTTCTGCTGGGGAGCCTCTTCTGTCATCTCTTTTTCTAAATGATTTGTTCTATCGTGGTAGTTCAGTGGCATTCTGTATACTTCTTCCATAGGACTGGAAACTGCAGTGTAATTGTTTTGGCTTCTCTCCTTCTCTTGACTTTAAAGCCTTTGGGAATTAGCCTGATCTTTTATCTTCCTTCCCCCTGCTTGGAGTACAGTACAGTATCTTTTTTATTTTTTTAAAAATTTATGTATGTATTTGAAAGAGTTACACAGAGAGAGAAGGAGAGGCAGAGAGAGAGAGAGGTCTTCCATCCGCTGGTTCACTCCCCAATTGGCTGCAATGACTGGAGCTGCACCGATCTGAAGCCAGGAGCCAGGAGCTTCTTCCAAGTCTCCCACTTGGATGCAGGGGCCCAAGGACTTGTGCCATCTGCTGCTTTCCCAGGCCATAGCAGGGAGCTGGATCGGAAGTGGAGCAGCCAGGACTCGGACCAGCACCCATATGGGATGCTGGCACTGCAGGCGGTGGGTTTACCTGCTATGCCACAGCACTGGCCCCCCCAAAATACAGTTTCAAATGGGTCTTCTACTCTGGAGAAAAATAAACCTTTTAACCATAATAAGAAATATCTTCTAAAGTAACATTTTAACACATTGAAAAAGTAATACAAGCTTTAATATTTAATATGGAAGATTGAATATATACATTTTTCTCCTTTCTGAAATCCCATTAAAATACCAATAAAAGCATAAAAAGGATGTGAAGCCACAGGCAGAGAGAGAGACAAGATACCCTATCTGATAAGAGATAATCAGTAAAATCTTGGAACCTGGGAAGTGGATGAATGATTTCTAATTGACCTAACATAAAGAAAGAAAGTAGAAAAGCTGAAAGCTAGGTTCCTACAGTAATGATAAACCAAGAAGCAAACTGGCTTAGGCTGCATTTTAGGAATCTGAAGCACCACGTATTCCAGAAGGAATGGGTGTAGTGTTAAAAATAAGAATTTTAGAAATATGTAAAAGTAGCAGGTATATGCCTTGATCTCCATCCCAATACCGTATGATCAGGCAGCTACCCTCTGGCAGTATGGAAACACTGAAGTGGAGGGACTGCACTCAGACTCCTGCTTGTGTTCAGGGCAGGTGTGCTGCACTGAAAACCAGCAGTGAGGGTCAAGAAGAAGAAAAGGAATTAAGTGAAAGTCTGTATTTTTTTTTTTTTTTGACAGAGTTAGACAGAAAGGTCTTCCTTTTCCATTGGTTCACCCCCCAAAATGGCCACTACGGCCAGTGCACTGCGCCAATCCGAAGCCAGAAGCCAGGTGCCTCCTCCCGGTCTCCCATGCAGGTACAGGGCCCAAGCACTTGGGCCATCCTCCACTGCCTTCCCGGGCCACAGCAGAGAGCTGGACTGTAAGAGGAGCCACCGGGACAGAATCCGGCACCCCAACCGGGACTAGAACCTAGGGTGCTGGTGCCACAGGCGGAGGATTAGCCTAGTGAGCCACGGCGCTGGCCAAAATCTGTATTCTTAGTGCCAAAGTGCCTGGACCCCTTATCCCACTCGAGCAAATACACCCTAACTAAGAGGTAGGAAGATTCTTCTTTTGGAAGTTTCTTTACCCTAGAGAAGACCTTTGTCCTGACAGTAATGGCTTGGTTCCAGTCTAAAGGTCCCAGAGAAATGCTGCCTCTACCTAAGCCCTGCTCAAGAATAAGCCCAAGTTTAGTACCTCGTTCTTGAACATTTAAGAATTACTAGGTGTTTGATGAAAACATTTAAAATGAAAAGTAGTTACTAAATATGATACTTGAAGGGTACAGGTAATAAAAGGAAAATAAGTCATTTTTAGAATTTTTAAAGTATTTATTTGAGAAGCAGACAAAAAGAAGGAGAGGGAGACAGAAACAGTAATGGAGCCAGACAGAGTTGATTGCCTTCCCCAAATGCATGCAACAACTGGGACTGGGCCAAGTGAGGCTTGGAGCTGTGAACTGAAACCAGGTCTCCCATGTGGGTGGCAAGGGCCCAGTGATTTGAACTTCTGTGATGTGCATTGTCAGGAAGTAAAGTCGGTTATTTTCTTTGGAAAAAAAATTTTTTTTATTGGTAAGGTAGAATGACAGAGAGGGAGAAAGAGATCGTCCATCTGCTGGTTCACTCTGCTAATGACTGCAACAGTCAGGACTGGACCAGGCCAAAGCCAGGAGCCAGCAACTTCATCTGGGTCTTTTATGTGGGTGGCAGAGGCACAACTGCTTGGGCCATCTTCTGCCTTCCAAGGCACATTAGCAGGGAGCTGGATCAGAAATGCAGCAGGTGGGACTTGAATTCCTGGCATCACAGGTGGCAGCTTAACCCACTGTGCCTCGACACTGGCCCTGAGGCCGAGTATTAGGATACAGGCATCTTAACTGGTGTATTGACTGCTAGGCCAAATGTCTTTCCCAGAAGAAACCTTCTAATAGCCATAGTTTCATTAATATCCTCAGAGTGGTGAAAAAATCTTGTGCTCATAAAATAGCTACAGACTACTTTTTTAAAAAAGCCTTCAAAGAACAAAAAAATCTGAAAAATTACGAATAAAAATATAGAACCAGAAATAAGGTATTCCATAGACTTGAATGATAAAGGAAATATTCTAGAAAGTTAAACAAATACTAAAGAGAAAA